CTTCACAGACAAAATCAGAAGATTTATTCAATTGATCATCTTTTATTCCATTCAAGAAAGGTATCTTGTTGACAGGATAATGTCTTAACCTACAATGCCAAAGCTGTAATGCCAAAGCTGTAATGCCAAAGCTGTAAAGACAAGCTATTACATTTCACAATATCATCAGTATGAGAATTCTTCCTTTTAGGAGGATCAGTGAGCAGATACAAGCCATTCCTTTGTTCAGCAAAACCATTCATCATCCCACAAAGACCCTAAATATCACATGAATCAATTTTCATAATAATCTGGCACTTCCCTTGTTTGGTTAATTTGCTAGCAGAGATAATATTGAATGTGAAAGAGGGAATGAACAACACATTGCTTAGCAACAAGTTTAACTGCAACCTGATTTCACCTATATGTGTTACACTCAATGTTCTCCCCATTAGGCAATTTAACAGAAATTCCACAAACTTTGTGATAGCTTTCAAAATAGTCTAATGAGCATGTGATATGATCAGTAGCACCTGAATCTAGAATCCATATAGTAGAGGAGGATATAACATTATTAATGTGAGGATTAGAAATAGACCTGCCTTCATTAGGTTCTGATTTCTTTCCAGAATTGCTCACAGTTATGGCAGCATTTGAAGTGGCTGATTTCTCTTGATTTTGACCATGTAATAAAGTCAAAAGTCTTTGGAATTGCTCAGCAGACAGTCCAATATCTCCAATCTGATTAACAGCAGCGCCTTGCATGTCTTGATTCTGCCTGCTTCTGGATTTATACCCTGGTATCTAGCCAGGAAGATAGCCATGCTTCTTAAAGCATTTCTCAACAGTATGGCCACTCATGTTGCAATGTGTGCATTTAGGCACATTCCTTCCACCATTGTTGTTGAATTTCTTCTTATTATTAGAGGTAGAGAATGCCACAGTTCCCAGCTCTTCTGTGGATTGGCCCTGGCTGTTTTGAACAGCACTGGATTGAATCACTTCAATGCTCTTTTGATTGTATGAGCCATTGATTTTCCTTTCCACTTTCAGAGCCATGTTAAGGACCTTCTCCATGGTTGGAATCGGATCCATAACAAGGACTCCTGACTTTATAGATTCAAATTCATCATTTAGTCCTTCTAAGAATCTAATGACTTGATCATCCTGTTTCTCCTTCTGTATCTTACTTAAGAGTTTGCATGAGCATCTAGGGTTACATTCACACACTGGTAAAGGCCTCATGGCGTTCATCTGTTCCCACAAGGCATTACACTTTGTGAAATACTCGTTTATGGATTTATTACCTTGAGTATTCCTGTATATTTCATTCTACAATTCGGCTATTCTATGTGGATCAGCTTGTGAATATCTGTCTCTAAGCTTGATCCAGATATCTTCTGCCTTCTCATAGTAGAGAACCGTCTCGGCAATAGTGGAGTTGACGGATCTAAGGATCCATGAGCATACGATTTTGTTGCATCTTGTCCAGGTAGCAAATCTGGAGTCGGATTGCTCTGGACATGGCACTGAACCATCAACTAGACCGAACTTGTTCTTCACTTGCAAATAGAGCCGTCGAAACGGTCTCGCGGGGCGGGACGGGCCGAAACACACTAAAACCCGTCCTCGTAGCGGGACGGGCTAAAAAGCCCGCCTCTTAGCGGGCTTGGAATGTGGCTGGCCCGCCCCGCCATGCCAAAGCCCGCTGGCGGGGCGGGCTAGCCCGCCAATCAATTTTTTCATTGTGTTAATTTTTTTTTTTTAAATCACTGTACAATATCCTAAAAAAAAAAAAAAAAAAAAAAAAATCACTGTACAGACGTACAGTACACTAACATAATAACACTACCTAGTATTGTATTCCTATAAATCTATAATCCTATAAGTTATAACACACTAACACAATTACACAAACCAAAATAACATGTATTAAATACTAAATATATATAGAAAATATATATGTATTAGCAGGTCGCGGGCTAAACCCGTGACCCGCCTGACCCGCCCCGCCTGGACCCGTGACCCAGGCGGGACGGGCTAAAAAGGCCGCCTCCTGGCGGATCAAAATTTGAAGAACCCGTCCCCTACCTACGGAGGTACGGGACGGGTCGACCCGGCGGGTAAAACCCATTTTTTACGGCTCTACTTGCAAAGCTATCTTCATGGATCTGCTCCATGAAGCATAGTTGAGCTTCGACAATGGGGGAGAAAGGAGAATCATATTTGGATTCTTGGTCACGTGAAGATAAAGTGGATCATCGAATTCATCATTTCGCAAATTCAGTCCTTGATTTGCAGTGTTCTGATTCAGAGGTGTGTTTGTGGTTCTGGCTGAGTTAGCTCCGGTGTTCATCGTTACGGCAGCGGCGTAGCTTCGGCGAAGCTCTGATACCATGTGGAAAGCTTAATCATACATGGTGGAAGAAGCATTCAATGGAGAAGAGAGCAAGAGTTTATTGCAGATGATGATGGAGGGAAAAACAATCTGTCTAACTTGCAGCAAAAGAAGAGGAGAGGCTACATTATATATAAACTGCAATGGCATTTATAACAGAAAGAAGGGGAAGAAAAAGACAAGTGTGTCCTTCTCATGTAAGCCTGCTGCTTCCATATTCGTCCAAGTCTGCTTGCTTCATCAGGATATATACACTGAGATAATAAGGAAAGGGGATAATATGAATTTAGGAGAGGAAATCAAATGTATTTATGGCAATAAGAACTTGCCTAGATTAAGCTCATTAATTCTAGTATAAGTACACCCTGAAAAGGGGTTAAGCTTTCCGCATACCTACACTAAATACATAGCACTTACTTTCCGGCCACTAGACTTAATTTTCCGGTGGTGTTGGCCCGCCGTTTGACTGCCCCGGTGGTCAATAAAACCAACATATACGTTGGGAAAATCTTACATTGTGAACTTAGTATGAAATAATCAGAGTTGTCCATAATTAATCAATTCAAGCCAAGGACCTAGGAAGTGAACTTGAAACTTTGTAATTACTAAGTCAACAACCTGACTAATTAACTTGGCATTGATTGCCTTCAAGTTGTGTTTTTCTTTTCTTGTTTCCACATTTAGAGGGCATTAGAGTCGAAAGGTCCTCTTTGACTTTTCCAAAACAATCGAAAGTCCATCCACAATTTTCCTTAATTCTTAATATGCACTTTGAATTTTCAGCAATGCATCCAATTTGTCAACCCCTGTAACTTTCAAGTATGAAATGGTGATATTATGTAATGCCATGTCATTGATGAATCAATTTGATTAGTATAGCCCTTTACCCAATTGTTGGGTTAAGAAAATGGCTTGCAGGTCTATTTTATACATCAAAAAATCTATTCTAATGATTGGGATTGATCATGTTGCTTCAACCACAAAATATGATGATATACTCAGATATTATTAGTCCCCGAAAAGATATGAATGAGTAGTAAAGCATGATTCTTGTATTCAGATGATTATGAATTTAATTTTTACAAACACTTAAAATAAATATGAGTTATTAGGAAAAATGACATTATTGGTTCTCATTTGTAGCCATGGTATAAATTAATATAGTCCCCTAATTATTGGCATGGTAGATTTAGTTGGGTGAATATTATGAACTAGAAGTGAGAACTTCCCAAAGTATATATTATGTAATATGTAATATAACTTGAATTTTTGTGGTTTACACAAATAATAACTCTGAAATTGTGTATGATACATGATTTGAATTTTGGTTTCCGTTGACCCTTCCTCATTACGCTTGTACTTAAGTAAACTTCCACAGGAAGTCCATTCTTACCATCACTTCGAATTTTCAGTAACATGTAACATTTTTCAACCCCCATCACATTCAAGCTAGTATGAAATGGTGAAATTGTGCATATCATATTGGCTCTGTTTGGTAAAATGGTTGTTAGCTGATAGCTGATAGCTGTTAGCTGTTAGCTATTAGCTGATTGTATTAATTAGAAGGTATAAATAGTTGATAACATTAGCTGATTGTAGAAAAAGTGTTTGGTAATTTAGCTGTTAGCTGATAGTTGTTTGGTATAATTTCTTTTCTCAAAAAGCTAATTGAAAAAGTTACTTGGAGTAGCTTTTTGAATTTTAACCTTTTAGAGTTGCAAAAAGCTAATTAACCAAACATTTATATTGATATTTTTACCAAACAGGGCCATTATCATCCCTTGAATTTCTCTTATTATTCCATTTGAAATGAGGATTTCAGTTCTCAAAACCTTCGTGAAAATTTTCAAAAGAATTAGGTAATTTGAGTTGAACGTTTGTGGTTTAGACCAATGGATTTTGAACCTGTTCACCATGCATAGTACTTCAAAATAAATTTGCTTATAGGAAGTTCTTAAAAGTTAGTGACAAAACTACTAGAGCGCGAGATACATTGATTTTGGGTAAGGATTAAGGACAAAAGATCAAAATGTATGTGACAGTTGCAGTTTGAGAGTAAAGAGTGAATAGGGCAATGGGGCCAGATTGCCCTCGCTCCTTTACCTCACCCTAATATATATGTATATATAGTTGATGTTTTCATAGAACTAGATAATATGCTATTTTGGGGTAAGATAATATGCTATTATACAAAAACAAAAAATTACCAAAGGTTGAGATTGCTTAGTTAGTAGTAGGACTTAGGTAGGCAACTTATTCTTTTAAGAGATCTAAAGATGAAAATAATAATGTGATATTTATAATGTGTTATTTGTGATCATAATTATTTAAATTGATGAATTGATTAATACGAATTATGTTTTGCAATTCAATTATGAAAATATTTTAAAAGAAAATCTACTTTTTAAAATTTATCTATTATCTAGTCAATATAATTTAAAAGTATCAATTTTGTGTCATCGTATCCATATTAAAAAAAAAAAAAAAAGTAGTATTCACGAATACTATATTAATAGGGATTATATGCAATTTATTCCAATTATTTCATATTTTACCATAAATACAAAGTACAAGACATATTAAGATTATCTTTCAAACACTGCGCCTATTGCTAAAACAAAGCTTATAAAGCAAACAACTTATTATAGTATTATTACAAATCCCTATCGACCTTCTTGTTCTGAAAACGTCAATTGATTGGAGCACAGTTTATCAGATTCTAGAGTAGTAGAGTCATTGAAAATCCGATTTCTTGTAACAAAAGCTGGTTGATTTGGTTTAGGTAGATTCATACTTTCATCTGTCAACATTAGAAATACATTAGGCATGCTAGGACGATGATTTGGATCTTCTTCAACACATAACAACCCAACATTTATGCACTTCAACACTTCACATTCCTTAGAGCATTCTACTAGTATTGAGTCATCTAATAAATCCATTGCATTCCCTTCATTCCATAATTTCCATGCCTGAGATAACACAAGAAAAAGATTAGTAAATCAAGTCAAACATAGTAAAATTGAAAAATACTAACTCTTTAAGGTTTATAGGGTTTCTTCACTTACATAGCCTAAAAGGTTTGAGACTTCTTCATGCTGATAAAATGCTGTGTTTTTCTTTCCACAAATTATTTCGAGTATGATCACTCCAAAACTAAATACATCAGACTTCGTTGAGAAGAGTCCACTTAGTGCATATTCAGGAGACATGTAACCGCTTTATTATTACCATAACACGCAATCCAAAATGAAAAGAAGAGTAAGTAAATCTCCAAAATATTAAGTAAAATTGTTTTGAGATATGTATTTAAAAAATTATGGATCTTGAAGGTTTACTCCATAATTCAAGTTAAGGACTACTTACTAGGTGCCTGCAACCTTTACGGTATTTGCTTCAAATGTATTTCCAGCAACCAGTCTCGCTAATCCAAAATCTGAAATCTTAGGGGTATCATTTCTTCATCTAATAAAATGTTATTTGTTTTCATGTCCCTGTGAATGATTCTCAATCTTGAATCATGATGAAGATATACAAGTCCTCGAACAATTCCCAATATAATGTCAAACCTTTTGCTCCAATCCAACAATAGTTGACGTGTTTGATCTAAATTGTGAAATATAATGGACCCAGTTACTATTGGAATATTGATTGAATTTATTAATATATAATTGATCAATGGAATGCCAAAGATTACAACTTACCAAATATGAAGGTGTCTAAACTCTTGTTTGGCATATATTCATATAGCAAGATCTTTTCTCTCACTTGTGTGCAGTAACCTACAAGTTTAACGAGATTTCTGTGTTGAAGCTTTCCAATTAGTACAACTTCATTCATAAACTCGTTGATTCCTTGACTAGATTGATTTGATAATCTTTTTATTGCAACTTCTTGCCCATCAAGAAACATACCCTGAAATACCATTATTAGGTATTATTATATATGGAAAAGCAAAAACATGCTGATGTGAAATGGATTGTTTAGCTATATATATAATGAGAGATTGAATTGAATGATAACCTTATAAACCGGACCAAAGCCTCCTTCTCCTAACTTATTTGCATCGGAAAAGTTGTTTGTAGCTTCCAATATGCTTTGGAAAGTGATGAGCGGGACGCCAATGCCGTTCTCATCATCATCTGCATCTTCATCTATCGTTTCATCCACTGCAAAAGTTATGAAGTGAATTGAACAGAAAACGCTATTTCAAATACTCAGAATATATAATTATGGATTTAATCGATATATATGGTGTCAAAACGGAAAATTTTCTCTGATCTACAAGACTACAACTAAACTACCTGTTATTTTCAATGCTGCTCTTCTCCTTTTGTAACAGACGCAGAAAATAGTGCATGCAACTAGAGCTGCTGCAGCAACTGCAACACTAGCTATGATCGCTAGAAATTGCTTTGAGTTTGTATCTGTATGTTAACACCAAAAGAAAATTAATTAATTAAACACACACAAAAGAGCACTTCAACATTAACCATTGGGTTGTATGTGAATATAATGCTCTTCTTCCGAGTTACGAGCTAAACTACAAAAAGGAAGGAAGAAATTAAAAGACATTATATATTGCGATTCAAATGACAGTCCAATTTTAAAAGAGTGAGATATAAGACAAATTAATATATTCTTTAATACGTGTTGTCTTTCTACAAATACATATGTAACTATTTATATAGGATCATAAGCTACCCTATTACTGTGTGTTATAACTACCCATGAATCTCACTATACACTAATAATAATAACAAAAAAATGCAGCAATATTGGGTGTATCACATGCATGCATTAATTGTTATTAATTATGCACGTACCTTTGATATTTGAAAATTCAGTGGCAGCAAGTCTGATGTAAATTGTGCCTCCGTTGATATCATCTTCCCCCAACTGTTTGAGGTTCAAAAGTTGTCCCACCCAAATCCAACAATGACCACTGCTATTGCTATAAGCATAGGCGGCACAAGAGCAATTTTTGAGACATGTAGACTCACATTCTGCCTGGGTCTCAGCAGCTGTGATGTTTTGAGGATGTCTTGGCAATCTCACGTTTGGATACATTATGAACCTGTCCACGTCCATATCCTCTTCTTCGTAATTATTACTTCCACTACACTTCAAACTGGTGTTCCTAACACAGCCGCCAGAGAATTCATTGAATAATCTCCACTCTCTTTCTGACTTGTACTTGAAACCTTGCAAGCAAACACAAACGGTGGTAGAGTTGTCATTGCAGATGCCGAATGGGCCGCAATACGCATAAACGTCGCATTCTTGTGGCGGGTTAAAATCGGTGGGCATCCACACCTTTTGAGCTTCCGACCACACTAGTGTCTTCTCTTGCCCATTTACGTCGAGTATGTGTCTGCCTATGACGGACGGGTGTAGCACATTGTAACTCACGTAAATCTCATTTTCGTTGTCCACAAAGGTGTAGTTGTGCGCAGAATTGGGCTTATATTTTTCTGCTCCGAATTTGGGTCCACTCTTCCAGTATTCCTCTGTACCGTTCCACAATTCAAATGCCACACCGCCATCACTCCCAATAGTACTAAATAGCCCGGGTGCCGGATCGTCCCTACTTTTCCACGACGTGAGCCCATATGTTGTTTGGGTGCGCTTGTTATATCCGAACTTGTTATATCGTCTCTGTCGGGTGGTCAATACTTTGCCAAAGTGGGGTTGTTGAACTGACGCCATCCTCGCTCAGAACCAAGTTTCCGCTGTCGCGAAGGGTTGCTAGAACAGAGTTTTCCTTCACCGTTGTGGCGGAAAGATTGGTTGACCACACCAAGTTTTGTGCCCCGTCTACAAGCACCAAGTCGCCGTCTAGGACTCTGAGTTTGGAGGATTTGATTGCGGAGGAGGGGATTGGGGTCACCCTATTTGCTACCCAAACTACTGTTTGAGGGGAGATGTTTTTGTACCAAATACCAATGTAATACTTGAAAGATTGACCTGGTGTGAAGAAACCCAACTCAAATCTTCCATTGGGAGAGGATATAGTTGTACCCTGAGTTATATATTTGTTTCCAGAAATTGTTTCTATTCCATGGGAAAATGGAGTATTCAGAAGAGAGATGAGTAGAATAAGGAGGCATGAAAGCACTACAAAGAAATTCATTTCCATTTCAATTCCCTGGCCTCACACAACTCTCTACTCACTAATATATATAGCGCTAAACTGACAAACAGAACAGACTTCCAATGCGTCATTAGAGTGGAATTGGAAGACTTAATTCCATAACCATTGCGTACGTGAACACGAAAGGTCGTCTTGACTTGTAATTATCTATGGTTGTGACCAAGTCCTCATCAGGCCAAATAAAGAAACAATGTTTTGCAATTATTTGCCTATCTTGCTTTGCGCCAAGTCATGGACAACCTAAGTGTAATTCAACTGAACATGAACACAGATATTAGACCTAGGAACCCTCTCACTTTGAGAGGTTACTTCCACCTGCATACTATTGTTGGTAAGATCAATCTCTAGTCATTTGCTTTCAAACTTCATCTATGTGACCAACTCAGTTGCCCATGCAAACATGGACAACTAACCTAACTTGATTTACCTCATTGTGGTCATTTATCAATTAAGGTGATACGTGTTTATTTGTGCCATTTTTTTTTATGCATATTTAAGTATAATCTTTGGTATCAGGCTATCAGCTTGGTTGCCCCCATTTTGTGGTTTGAAGGATTTTGAACAGTCTAGCCATTCACCCCATTGTTAGGTTAAGAAAATTGCTGTCCTTTCTATTTTATATATCAATTCAAATGATTGTGATTGAACATTGCATGTTGATTCAAACCACAATATACGATCATACTTGGATATTTATGGTCAAAATATTTCATTTAGGGTAGTGATTGCAAAGTTTAATTTACCTAATACACATCTCAAATAGTGATTGTGAATTTCTCTTGTCATTCAAAATAATAAAATTACATTTAATAAGTATTTTATTGTTTATATTTTTATCCCTTTACTTAGCCCATTTCATTCACATACCACCATTGAACTTGCGCGCGACTTTAGACTTAATTGTGTGATTTTATCTCTAGGTGGATCTTGTCACAAGTGAAGAATTGAAGCATCTTGAGACATTTTCAATCAAGTTTAAAGCCAAAAATACATTAGAAAAAGTTTTGAAGCGACATTGGATCAGGAGTAGTTCGCACGGGCAACCCCATGCCCATGAGACCGCCCATCTCCGGACACTTGTGTGAACAAGTTCATACCATCGCATGCGCATTGCTTGTGCTAAATATGTGTGAGTTGTTTCATTTAGAATTTGGGTTGGGGTATTATTATCTATCTACGAGATGCTCCATTTGGTAATTCTTGTATGAAGGGGAGGAAACTTAGCTATGATTCTTGATGTTTGTGAATAAATTGTACTCTTATCTTGTTGATGTGTGGCTCACAACACATACTCATTAGTTTGTGGGTCTACGCTCCTAGCAAGATTGGTATCATCAAAATCTAAGTACACTTGTTCCTAACAAATACATACAATTTGTCAATCCCCATAACTTTCAAGTATTAAATGGTGATATTATGTTCCACTTCTTGTAAAGTATAGAGTTTCCCACAGAAAATAGTAGTGGTATATTAAGAAATTAAACCAAAAAATAAAAGTAAAAATCAATGCATTCGGATAAATACAAATCGAGTTACAAACTTTTATAACGTAACATTGCATGTAGATGCCACATAACCTATAGAAAAAAAAAATAATAAATACAAAGTTGAAGACATCTAATATATATATATATATATATATATATATATATATATATATATATATATATTGATAGACACACAGAATCTAAGATTATCTTTCAAGTGCGCACTTATTGGTACAACATGGTGAAGAATATATAGCCTATCATCATTATATATAGACCTCTATCGACCTTCTTGTGTTGAAAGAGTCAGGTGGTTAGAGCAGAATTGTTCGGATGGAATAATAGAAGAGTCATTCCAAGTTTTTGTTCTTATAACAAAAACTGGTTGATTTGGTTTAGGTAGAGTCATACTTTCATCCATCAACATTAGAAGTACATCAGACATACTAGGACGATAACTTGGGTTTCCATCAACACATAACAAGCCAACATTTATACATTTCAGCACTTCACATTCCTTAGAGCATCAAATAACTCCAAAACTAAATACATCGGACTTAATTGAGAAGAGTCCACTTAGTGCATATTCAGGAGACATGTAGCCGCTTTATTATTACCATAATACACCATCCAAATTTGATGCATGAATTGTATAAAATGAAAAGCATTAATTAGTAAGTGTAAATCACCAAAATATGAACTAATTAAAATTGTTTTGATACATATGCATGCATTGCATTAATAAAGTTATGGATTGTCAATATTTACTGCATATATAATTCAAGTTAAGATAATGGTACTTACTAGGTCCCAGCAATTTTTATGGTATTCGCTTCAAATGTATTTTCAACTATCATTCTTGCTAATCCAAAGTCTGAAATTTTAGGTGTCATTTCTTCATCTAACAAAATGTTATTTGTTTTCATGTCTCTATGGATGATTCTCAATCTTGAATCATGATGGAGGTATACAAGTCCTCGAGCAATTCCCAATATGATGTCAAACCTTTTGCTCCAATCCAACAATAGGCGACGTGTTTGATCTAGATTATAGTATGGAAACAATGTAACCAATTAATTACTAATGAATTATCGATTGAATTTATCAATATATAGCTGATTAATGGAATAACAAAGATTAAAACATACCGAATATAAATGTGTCTAAACTCTTATTTGGCATATATTCGTATAGTAAGATCTTTTCCCCCGCTTGTGTGCAGTAGCCTAAAAGTTTAACCAGATTTCTATGTTGAAGCTTTGCAATTAATACAACTTTGTTCTTAAATTCTTTGATACCTTGTCTAGATTGACTTGATAATCTCTTTACTGCAATTTCTTGCCCTCCGAAAAGCATACCCTACAAAACCATTTGTATTATTAGGTATCATATAAAAGGAAAAACAACCCTAAAGGGATTGCTAAGCTAGATAATAAGCTAAGGCATATACTTAATTGCGATAACCTTATAAACTAGACCAAAACCTCCTTCTCCTAACTTATTTGCTTCTGAAAAGTTGTCCGTAGCTTCCAATATGCTATGAAAAGTAAAGAATTGGACGCCAATGACTTCATCGGTATCTTCCTCTATCACTTGATCCTTTTCATGTTCTTATAAAGTGAACAAACAAAACTATTTCAAAATCCAATTACACATTAGAAGACTCATACTATGGAATTAATCAGTATATATATACCTCTTTTACCTGTTATTTTCAATGTCGTCGTTCTCCTCCTCCTATAACAAATGTAGCAAATAGTGCATCCAAGTAGAGCTGCTGCAACAACTGCTGCACTAGCTATAGGTATGATAGCTTTGAGCTTTGAACTTGTATCTGTTAACATGAAAAGAAAATGATCGAAACACAAACAAGCTAGCTAGCTAAGCACTTCAAATTAATTACTAGCTAGTCTACTGTTATGGTTCAAGAGTGAAAAAGGTTGCAATCCATCACAATGTTACTAATTAATTAATGTGTTCCTTTAAAAAAAAAAAATTAAAAATTGCACTGAATAAACTCAGCATTGTGAGTTGTGATCTAACCGGCAAAGGACCAATACGTCTAGGTTGCCCACCAACTCAGACCGAGAATGCCAATAAGTCGCTATTCCTAGTAGTTAAATTTGTAACCTTATAATTACCAAATCAACAACATGGCCAACTTGACAAGGATTCCCTCGCCTGACTCTAGGGCCCACACGCACCGGCTCAACATGATAAAGTAAAACTAGGTAAATTATAGTAACTCAACCTCCTATTAGATGGGAGGACCAGTACTTGAAGCCCATCACTTTGGGTGTAACTCCCACAGCTACCTAGGCTTGATCATGTGTCTTTGATAAGGGTAAACATACTTTTGCAAAAGAAAAAAAAAAAAGTAACTTTAACATTCAAAGATTCAGAGGATGCAAGTCTAATGTAAATGGTGCTTCCATTGCCATCGTCTTCTCGAAAGTGTCTCAAATTGAAGAGTTCTCCAACCCAAAAGGAGCAATACCCAGTGCTATTACTATAAGCATAGGCCGTACAAGAGCAATTCTTGAGACAACTGGACTCACATTCTGCCCCACTCCCAGCCTTCATCTTTTGAGGATGCCTTGGCAATCTCATATTCCGATACATTTCGGACCTATCCATTTCCCCTAGCTTCCTGGTAATCAGAAACACCATTTCCACACTTCAAGTTGATTGTTTATTGATTGTGATATGCTCAAACAAAAAATTCAATAAACAATTCAAACAAAAAATATAATTGAATTTGAATTTTGGGGTTACCAAGCCTAACGGTCTAACTAATGACTGAGGACGCCCTAAAAAACTTCTAATCCATGAACATGAAAGGTTGTCTTGAGTCTTGACTTGTTGGAAAGACAGGTCAAATGCCAGTTAGCTGTTGTCGATCTGTCTATTTTAAGCATAATTTTCACAGCTGTTGTCGAAGTTTGAACGTAGCTTGATATCTGATCTTCTCCTAAATACTGTATACTAAATCAGTGAGCTAAATCCATGCGGGCTTCTCCCACTCATCATATGCTGGTAGGATGAATGCATTATATTGGTTAAAGTATAGGGAAGTCGCTATACAGTAATGTTAACGATACTAATACATTTTGTTAGACGTTATTATCATCGACTTGTCAAATATTTTTGTTATTTCATGTCATTGATGAAGCAATTTGATTAGTCTAGCCCTTTACCCATTTGTTGGGTTAAGAAAATTGCTTGCACGTCTATTTTATATATATAAAAAAAAAAATCTATTCTAATGATTGTGATTGATCATGTTGCTTCAACCACAAAATATGATGACCATACTCAGATATTATTAGTCTCCAAAAGGATATGAATGAGTAGTAGAGCAATGATTCTCGTATTTAAATGGTTATGAATTTAATTTTTGCCAACACTTAAAAATAAATAGTAGTTATTAAGAAAAATGACATTATTGGTTCTCATTTGTAGCCATGGTATAAATTAATATAGTCTCCTAATTATTGGCATGGCAGATTTAGTGGGGTGAATATGAACAAGAAGTGAGAACTTCCCAAAGTATATATTATGTAATATGTAATATAACTTGAATTTTTGTGGTTTACACAAATAATAATTTTGAAATTATTCACTATACAGTGATTTACACAAATAATAATTCCCAAATGTGTTTTAGGTTTAGGGTTCAGCCTTTTGGAAGAATAATTCCTAAATGTGCAACTTTATTTCCTTATATTTATGTAGTAGTCAATGTCGTGTTTTAATGACATAATAGGTCAAAGTACCTATAAAGTCCTTGTACTATAGTGTTTTGTTCAATTTAGTCCCTGTACCTTTATTCTGTTCAATTTAGTCCCTCTACTTTAAAAAGTGGTGAAACTAAGGACAATTGTCCAAATCTCATTAAAAATATGGTTTTAATTATTTATTTTAGACATACTAATTTAATATATTGGTGGTAAAAATAACTAATTTTAAATATTTATAAAGAAATATAGGAGTAAGAATATAAATATCGTTAGCGCCACGTAACCTAAGTTAGCCGTAATATTAACACTATTAACTATTGTCCTTAATTACAACATTTTTATAGTACAGGGACTAAATTGAACAAAATAAAGGTATAAGGACTAAATTGAACAAAACGTTATAGTACAGGGACCTCATAGGTACTTTGACCGACATAATACTGGACTTGACTCTCCAAGTCTCCGCTTAACAGTATTAACTATATATTAACTAAGCCTATGGCAGAGTTTGGTGAGTAATTAATGAAACCATTGGAATGTTGAAAACTTTGGTTTAAAAAGACATTTAAATTGGTGATTTTTGTTGTATAATTTTTTTGTGGGATCACATCCGATTTGGGTAGGGTCAAAGTATATTCGAATTCTCTAAGTGAGATGTTTAAGTTTGATATATTATACGCTCAAAATTGATTCTCAAACTCACTAAACGCTCTTAACACCCTTGAGAGGTAAGCAGCAAATCAACTTTAAAGAAAATGTGTATGATACATGACTTGAATTTTGGTTTTCGCTGACCCGTCCTCATTACGCTTGTACTTAAGTAAACTTCCACAGGATTACAAGAAGTCCATTCTTACCATCACTTTGAATTAGGTAATTTGAGTTGAACGTTTGTGGTTTAGGCCAATAACAATGATTTTGAACCTGTTCACCATACATAGTACTTCAAAATAATTTTGCTTATACAAAGTTCTTAAAAGTTAGTGACAAAACTAATAAAGGTACATTGAATTTGGGTAAGGACTAAGGACAACAAATCAAATTGTGACACTTACACTGTGAGAGTCAAGAGTGGATTTAGAGGAGGGCAATGGGGCCAGGTTGCCCCGCTCCTTTACCCCACCCTATTATATACATGTATATATAATTGATCTTTTAATAGAAGTAGATAATATACTATTATATCCAAAAAAAAAAAAAAAAAAAAAATTACCAAAGGTTGAGATTGTTTTGTTGGTAGTAGGTAGGCAACTTATTCTTTTAAGAGATCTAAAGATAAAAATAATAATGTAATATTTATAATGTGTTATTTGTGGTAATAATTATTTAATAAATTTAATTAATAAGAATTATATTTTGTAATTCAATAATGAAAATATTTTAAAAGAAAATCTACTTTTTAAAAATTATCTACTATCTAGTCAATATAATTTAAAAGTTTCAATTTTTTTGTCATCATATTCAAATTAATCTAGAAATCATAGAGTTTGATATAATTAAAATAGGAATAAGGGTCAAATAGGCCATCGAACTGCACACGATAAAACAATTAGGCCATTGAACCTAAAAAATCAACAATTAGGTCCCTAAACTAATCAATTTCAAACAATTCTTCCAATTTGAAGGTTTCCAACAGGTCAACAGGTCATCTCCCAAATTAATTATTTTTTTAAAAAATAAATTTTAAAAATTAATTATTTTTAAATTAAATTTAAAAAAACTGGAATCCAGCTTGAGACGACCGTCTCCGGCTGGAACCAGTTTTTTTTTTTTTTTTTTTTTTAAATTTTATAATTTAAATAATTAATTTTTAAAATTTAAATTTTAAAAAATAATTAATTTGGAAGGATGGCCTGTTGACCTGTTGGAAACCTTCAAATTGGAAGAATTGTTTGAAATTGATTATCATATTAATAAAAGTACGAATAGCATATTAATAGGGATTATATGTAATTTATTTCAACCATTTTCATATTTTACCATAAATACAGAGTACAAGACATATTAAGATTATATACAGAGCACAAGACATATTAAGATTATCATTCAAACACTGCACCTATTGCTAAAACAAAGCTTATTGAACAAACAACTTATTATATTATTATAACAAATCCCTATCGACCTTCTTGTGCTGAAAACGTCAATTGATTGGAGCACGGTTTATCAGATTCTACAGTAGTAGAATCATTGCAAATCCGATTTCTTGTAACAAAAGCTGGTTGATTTGGTTTAGGTAGATTCATACTTTCATCTGTCAACATTAAAAATACATTAGGCATGCTAGGACGATGATTTGGATCTTCTTCAACACATAACAACCCAACATTTATGCACTTCAACACTTCACATTCCGTACAGCATTCAACCAGTACTGAGTCATCTAATAAATCCATTGCATTCCCTTCATTCCATAATTTCCATGCCTGAGATAACACAGAAAATGAATAGTAAATCAAGTCAAACATAGAAAAATTGAAAAATACTATCTCATTAAGGTTTATAAGGTTTCTTCACTTACATAGCCTAAAAGGTTTGAGACTTCTTCATGCTGATAAAATGCTGTGTTTTTCTTTCCACAAATTATTTCGAGTATGATCACTCCAAAACTAAATACATCAGACTTAGTTGAGAAGAGTCCACTTAATGCATATTCAGGAGACATGTAACCACTTCATTATTACCATAACACGCAATCCAAATGTGATGCATGAATTGTACAAAATGAAAAGAAGAGTAAGTAAATCTCCAGAATATTAAGTAAATTTGTTTTGAGATATGTATTAACAAATTATGGATCTTGAAGATTTACTCCATAATTAAAGTTAAGGACTACTTACTAGGTGCCCGCAACTTTTTTGGTATTTGCTTCATATGTATTTCCAGCAACCAGTCTTGCTAATCCAAAATCTGAAATCTTAGGTGTCATTTCTTCATCTAATAAAATGTTATTTGTTTTCATGTCCCTATGAATGATTCTCAATCTTGAATCATGATGAAGATATACAAGTCCTCGAACAATTCCCAATATAATGTCAAACCTTTTGCTCCAGTCCAACCATAGTCGACGTGTTTGATCTAAATTGTGAAAACAATATAATACTATTGGAATACTTATTGAATTTATTAATATATAGTTGATCAATGGAATATCAAAGAATACAACTTACCAAATATGAAGGTGTCTAAACTCTTGTTTGGCATATATTCATATAGCAAGATCTTCTCTCCCATTTGTGTGCAGTAGCCTACAAGTTTAACGAGATTTCTGTGTTGAAGCTTTCCAATTAGTACAATTTCATTCTTAAATTCGTCAATTCCTTGTCTAGATTGACTTGATAATCTTTTTATTGCAATTTCTTGCCCATCGAGAAGCATTCCCTGAAATACCATTTTTATTTCCATTATTAGCTAGGTATTATATATGGAAAAGCAAAAACAAGCTGATGTGAAATGGATTGTTTAGCTATATATCTAAAGAGATAATTGAGTATGATAACCTTATAAACTGGACCAAAGCCTCCTTCTCCTAGCTTATTTGCTTCGGAAAAGTTGTTTGTAGCTTCCAATATGCTTTGGAAAGTGATGAGCGGTACGCCAATACCGTTCTCATCATCTGTATCTTTATCTATCGTTCCATCCATTGCGTCGTCCAATGCAAGTTCTGTAGTGAATTGAACAGAAAACGCTATTTCAAATACTCAAAGGGTGTGTTTGATAAATGACAGCTGATTGGGTTAGTAGGTTTAGCTAGTTAGTAAATTGTCACAAAAAGCTAATTAATCAAACACATTGTTTAACAAGTCAATCAGTTAATTAATAGTAGTCAAATAAGTCAAAATATTTAACTAAACATGGCCAAAATATATTTATGGTTTTAATCGATGTCAAAACGTACAGAAAATTTTCTCTGATCTACAACTAAACTACCTGTTATTTTAAATGCGGCTCTTCTCCTTTTGTAACAGACGCAGAAAATAGTGCATGCAACTAGAGCTGCTGCGGCAGCTACTGCTACACTAGCTATGATCGCTTTGAGCTTCCCCAGCCACTGCTTTGAGTTTGTATCTGTTAACACCAAATTAAAAGAAAATTAATTAATTAAACACGAAAGAAAACTTCAACATTAACCATTGGGATACATACAGCCTCAGGGTTATATGTGAATGCTCTTCTCGAGTTAAGATCCAAACTTGAGAATGTGAGGGAGAAAAAAAATACATGATTGTGCTCCGAGTGGCAACTCTAAATAATAATAATAATAATAAGAGAAAAGAATGTCTGCAGACAAATTAATATATTCTTTAGTGTTTTCTACAAATACATATGTAACTATTTATATAGGATCATAAAATTACCAACTACCTTATTACTGTGTTATAACTACCAATGAATCTCACTATACACTACTAATAATAATAATAAATGCATCAATATTATATTGGATGTATCAAGCATCTTAGTAAGCTAAAATAAACTATATATAAGCTCCTAAATAAGTTCTGTCAAATAGAGCATACTGATTATTACAGGTACTTACCTTTGATATTTGAAAATTCAGTAGCAGCAAGTCTGATGTAAATTGTGCTTCCATTGATATCATCTTCCCCCAACTGTTTGAGGTTCAAAAGTTGTCCCACCCAAATCCAACAATAACCACTACTGCTATTGCTATAAGCATAGGCGGTACAAGAGCAATTTTTGAGACATGTAGACTCACATTCTGCCTGGGTCTCAGCTGTGATGTTTTGAGGATGTCTTGGCAATCTCACGTTTGGATACATTATGAACCTGTCCACGTCCATATCCTCTTCTTGGTAATTATTAGTTCCACTACACTTCAAACTGGTGTTCCTTACACACCCACCAGAGAATTCATTGAATCTCCATTCTCTTTCTGACTTGTACTTGAAACCTTGCAAGCAAACACAAACGGTGGTAGAGTTGTGGTTGCAGATGCCGAATGGGCCGCAATACGCATAAACGTCGCATTCTTGTGGCGGTGTAACATAGGTCGGCATCCACTCCTGGGTAGCCTCAGACCACGTTAGTGACTTATCTTGCCCATTTACGTCGATTATGAATCTGCCTAAGACGGAGGGCTGTAGCAAATAGTAAGTGAAGTAAGTCTCGTTTTCGTTGTCCACAATAGTGAAGTTGAAGGACGCAGGATTGGGCTTCAAATTGCCTGCTCCGAATTTGGGTCTTCTCTCGTATTCCTCTGTGCGGTTCCACCATAAAACTCCCATGTCGCCATTGTTGACAAGATGACTATATAGCCCGGGTGCCGGATCGTCCCAACTTTTCCACGACGTGAACCCATATGTTGTTTTGGTGCGCTTGTTATATCCGAACTTGGCACCGGGCAGAAACGTGTGTGTCGGGTGGTCAAAGCTTTGCCAAAGTGGGGTTGTTGAATTCATGCCATCCTCGCTCAAAACCAAGTTTCCACTGTCTCCAAGAGTTGCTATCACAGAGTTTTGTTTCGCCGTGGTGACGCTGAGATTGGTTGACCACAACAAGTTTTGTGCCCCGTCTACAAGCACCAAGTCGCCGTCTAGGACTCTCAGTTTTGAGGATTTGATTGCGGAGGAGGGGATTGGGGTCACCCTATTTGCTACCCAAACTACTGTTTGAGGGGAGATGTTTTTGTACCAAATACCGATGTAATACTTGGAAGATTGACCTGGTGTGAAGAAACCCAACTCAAATCTTCCATTGGGAGAGGATATAGTTGTAGCCTGAGTTATATATTTGTTTCCAGAAATTGTTTCAACTCCATGGGAGAATGGAGTATTATTCAGAAGAGAGATGGGTAGAATAAGGAGGCAACAAAGCAATACAAAAGAATTCATTTCCATTTCAATTGCAATTCCCTAGTGGCCTCACACAACTCTCTACTCACTAAATATATATAGAGAGAGCTAAACTGACGAACAGATTAGAGTTCCAATGCGTCATTAGAGTGGAAGACTTCCATTGCGTACGTGAACACGAAAGTACATAGTAGATGGTCACGGCTGCTGCCTTATAGTATATATATATGCATATATGATATAATATTGAGTAAATGGAAAATTGAATCTCAATGTGTACCAATTGAGTTGGGCAAAATGGAGTACTATGATTAGACAAAACGATTTAGAACTGTTAGAAAAATTAGCTTAAAATGACATAAAATGGCATATTAAGTGGCTATTTTGTGGTACAATTATCAGTGGGGTCCATTTCTGATTTGGGTCGGGTCAAAGTGGATTCAGGTTCTTCGTAGGGAGACGAAGAGATTGATATATTGTATGCTCAAAACGGATAATGGGTGAATTTGATATTGATTCTCAAAGTAGACCCATTTGAGTTGGGAAATGAAGAGAAAATAGTGGACTTTGTCCCACATTGGTTTGGAAACAAGATTTGCCCCCCTTATATACATGAGCTCTTTTGAAGCTTGTAGAATTGTATAGCATAGAGGCTCTCTCGCGCGGGGGGATGCAAATCGAAAAGGCTTGATTCAAGTTATTGGTTCGGTTCGAGCACCTACTCTCGTGCTATAGAGGAGCAAGAGAGGTTGTGGTGCAGCGAGAGCACAACTCTCGTGCATCTGTGACCACGAGAGTAGTGCACTCTCGAGTTGCACCACAGCGCACGAGAAATGTACTCTTCTGCTTCAGGCCATGTTGAATGCTATCCCTTCTTTAGCCAACCAGTGGGGGAGAGTAGTGCACTCTCGAGTTGCACCACAGCGCACGAGAAATGTACGAGTTGCACCACAGCGCACGAGAAATGTACTCTTCTGCTTCAGGCCATGTTGAATGCTATCCCTTCTTTAGCCAACCAGTGGGGGGGGGGGGGGTTGCAAATCAAAATCCAACTAGAGGAGATTGAAAAGGCGCGAGCGCCGGCAGAGGTTGTGGTGCACCGAGAGCACAACTCTCGTGGTCACAGCTATTGGTTCGGTTCGAGCTCGTCCGGAAATCGAAAAGGCTTGATTCAAGCTATTGGTTCGGTTCGAGCACCTACTCTCGTGCTACAGAGGAGCAAGAGAGGTTGTGGTGCACCGAGAGCACAACTCTCGTGGTCACAGCTATTGGTTCGGTTCGAGCTCGTCCGGAAATCGAAAAGGCTTGATTCAAGCTATTGGTTCGGTTCGAGCACCTACTCTCGTGCTACAGAGGAGCAAGAGAGGTTGTGGTGCACCGAGAGCACAACTCTCGTGCATCTGTGACCACGAGAGTAGTGCACTCTCGGGTTGCACCACAGCGCACGAGAAATGTACTCTTCTGCTTCAAACAGCCCGCAAGGCCATGTTGAATGCTATCCCTTCCAACAGCCCTATATAAAGAGAGGTAATTCCAGTATACTTTGCTTCAAAACTTCTGCTTCTACTCTCTTCTTTAGCCAACCAGTGTTCTAAGCTTTGCTTTGTTTGCCGGGTTCCTTGTTTAGGTGCTTAAACAAGGAATCGTAGCACGTTTTATCCTGAGAAACCTAGGCTACAACGCTCCTAGCACTTGTGGGAGGTAGCAAATAAGGTTTTAACGAAAAGAACTTTGTGTTCGAACTCGTGCTAAACCTATACCCAAACACTAAACCTTTTTCCTTCCCAGATTTTCTTTTTCCCATATAATATTAATCTTTTCGTAGGATTATTATTTTTGGGATTTTTCAACCTTATTATCCAACAAGAACTACTAATACTATGATTTTTCACTCTGGCATTCTCTCGATTTCATGAGAAAAGTTTCTCTCAACCTTTCCTAAAATTCTTAGTGCTCCTTTGTTCATGTTCGCTAAGAACAATATAACTTGAGTGCTCAATTATATTATTGATAATTTATTTTATTTTTGAAAGATTGACACTACAACTTGAATTTTGGTTTCCGCTTGTACTTTTCTAATGCTCCTTTTTCAATACGCTTGCACTTTTTTAAGTAAACTTCCACAGTGAGTCCATTATCGTTCATCATTTATTCTTACCATCACTTTGAATTTTCAATAACATGTAGCATTTCTCAACCCCCATCACTTTCACGCTAGTATGAAATGGTGAAATTGTGCATATCATATTATCATCCCTTGAATTTCTCTTATTATTCCATTTGAAATGAGGATTTCAATTCCCTCAGAACCTTCGTGAATATTTCCAAAAGAATTAGGTAATTTGAGTTGAACGTTTGTGGTTTAGGCCAATAACAACGATTTTGAACCTGTTCACCATACATAGTACTTCAAAATAAATTTGCTTATAGGAAGGTCTTAAAAGTTAGTGACAAAACTACTAGAGGTACATTGATGGTAGGGATGAGAATATATTTTTTGTATATTGATCAAGAGCAGCGGATATAAAGTATATAAAGACATGAAATAGAGATCTAGTCTAATACTACTAATATAATAGAGATCTAGTCTAATACTACTAGTAGAGTCCTAATACTTCCCCTCAAGCACAAGGTTGGTAAGCCAAAACATTGAGCTTGCAACGGAGTAAATTAAAACGCACATACGAAAGAGACTTAGTAAAAATATCCGCTATCTGATCTTTGGTAGAAATAAAATTGACTTGTAATTCCTTCTTTGTGACTTTATCACGAACAAAGTGGTAGTCGATCTCAATCGGATTAGCACACAGATAAGTAGCTCCCAGATTGTCACACCAGAATTTGGGCACAGAAGGTGGCGTAAACCCGATTTCCTTCATCAGAGAGACGAGCCAAGTAACCTCTACAGAGACATCAGCCAGTCATTTGTATTCAGCCTCAGTTGAGAACGAGCCACAGTACACTGTTTTCGACAAACCCATGAGACAAGATTGGTCCCCAAAAACACAGCAAAACCACTAGTAGATTGCGATCATCAGGATTGCCAGCCCAATCCGAATCAGAATATGCATGAATATCCAGAGAATGAGAAGAATATATCTTAAGACCAAGATGTAGTGCCCCATTTACATACTGTAACACCCTCTTGAGAGCCGCCCAATCCGCAGTAGAGGGAGAGTACATGTGCTGACACAAACGATTAACTGCATAGGAAAGATCAGGCCGAGTTACCGTAAAATATTGCAGAGCACCTGCAAAGCTGCGATACTAAGTGGGATCAGCGTATGGTACCACGGCATCAGTCTCGGCCTTCGTGGTTGAAACCGGAGTGGCCACAGGCTTGCAACCAACCATACCTGCTCGTTTTAGAATATCCTTCATGTACCGTTGTTGAGACAGAAACATGCCATCAGGCAACGGAATTGTCTCAATACCCAGAAAAAACGAGGGCACACCCATATCACGAACTTTAAACTCAAGAACCAACTTGTCTATAAGAGCAGTCACATGAGCCAAATCAGAACCCATAACCAAAATATCATCCACATAAACTAGAAAATATAGACGAGTATTGCCATGTGAATATATAAATAAAGAGACATCCGTCTTGGAAGGTGAGAAACCAACAAAAACCAGAAAATCATGCAAATGAGTGAACCAAGCACAGGGAGCTTGCTTAAGCCCATATAAAGAACGTTGAAGGAGACAACCGTGCCCGGGCATCGTTTTGTCTTCATAGCCAGGGGCTGGCGCATATAAACCGTCTCAGCGAGATTGCCATTTAGGAAAGCATTGTGTATGTCTAACTGTCGAATAGTCCATCCACGAGAAATAGCTAAGGATAAAAGAAGACGTGTCGTAGTCGGTTTTTAACCACGGGACTAAAGGTCTCAAAGAAATCCTCACCAGCAACCTGATTGAATCCCTTGGCAACCAAACGAGCCTTGTAACGCTCAATCAAACCATCAGCTTTCCTCTTAGTTCTAAACACCTACTTACAGCCAACCACATTCATACCTGATTTAAAAGGAACAAGCCGCCATGTATTGTTGTGCACCAAGGCATTAAATTCCAAATCCATTGCATCTCGCCATTCGGGAAATTTGACCGCTTGAGTAAAACAGGTAGGCTCAGTAGTGACGTCAGTAGATAAAGCAACATGGTCATGCATTCCCGAGCTCCACATCTTCATCGTATGAGACCGAACGGGCGAGGGCCCAGGACGGGATCGACCACGGGGTCGTCCCCTCGGCCGAGCAGGTGGCTGGTCCGTGACTGTTCGCTCGGACTCGGTCATGGACGGCTCGGCAGAAACGGGCTGCTGGCGGCGTGGCTCGGGTCTGGTTATGGGCACGGCAGGAGGATCAAAGGTCGAGACAGCACTCGGCTCACCAGGAGGCACAACCGGCGCAACACCCCATGGCTCCGGGCGTGGTGCGGGTACCTGTGAATCAACAGAAGCAACAAAAGGAAAGACAGTCTCATCGAATCGCACATGGTGACAGATAAAAACCTTGTTAGTGTATAAACAACAATAGCCACGAAAAGACGGAGGATATCCTAGAAATACACAAGGAGACGACCAAAAATGCAGTTTGTTGCGATTATAGGGCCGCAGATTAGGAAAACACAGACACCCAAAACCCCGTAAATATGAGTAAGAGGGCGAAGACCGATGCAAGAGGTAGTGAGGAGACTTATCAGACAAGACACGAGTTGACATTTTATTGATAAGATACACAGCAGTTTCGAAGGCATAATCCCAGAAACGAGACGGAACAGAGGATTGGGCCATTAGCGCCAGTCCCGTTTCGACAACATGGCGATGTTTGCATTCTACTCTGCCGTTTTGTTCATGAGTATACGCACAGGACTGCCTGTGACGAATACCTAATGACGCGAGAGTCGAACCAAGCTTTTTGTATTCTCCCCCTAAATCAGACTAAAAAGACAGAATTTTACAAGAGAAGGAGCGTGCAACAAGTGACCGAAACTTATCAAATATCGCATATAAATCAGACTTAGCTCGCATAGGATAATACCACACATAACGAGTGTAATCATCCACAAATAATACAAAATATTTAAAGCCATTTGCAGAAAATATCGGCGCAGGGCCCCAAATATATGAATATATTAATTCTAAAGGATGCGAACTGGTACATTCAACACGCGATAAAGGAAAACGAGACGAATTGCCTAATTGACAAGAGGAACAAATATTGGGTAAATCACTGGAATCAAACGAACTAAGACTAGAAGAGGCTAAAACATGACGCAGGACCCGAGAGTGTGGATGCCCAAGCCGCATATGCCAAACGAAAGAGGACCGTGTAGCACCGAAAGCAGCGGGAGCCGGACGCGAGGCAGGCCAGACATATAAACCCCCGGACGCATGCCCCTTAAAAAGAGTGTTCCTGGTTTGAATGTCCTTCACAAAGAAATACGAAGGGTGAAACTCAAAAAAGACATTACTTTCTTTAGCAAAACGCTGAACAGATAATAACGAAGAAGATAAACCAGGAACATGCAAAACATCAGACATACGAAACGACCTAGAATTAGTGGCTAACGAAGTAGAACCAACAGTAACAATAGGCAAACCTGTACCATTGCCGACCCGAAGTGTCTCCGAACCATCATATGTAGTAGAGGACGTCAATAAGGTGGGATCAGGGGTAGCATGATTTGTGGCACCAGTGTCGGGAAACCACTGATGAGAGTCGTCTATAGGACCATCCACACCAGAAACGACAACATTCGCCTGAGGCTCTGGATCAGGAGTGAAACGACACCAACACGTCGTAGCTATATGCCCTTGCTTGTTGCAAATCTGACACCGAGGGCCTGAGTTGGACCGCCCCCGGCCACGACCATCGCGCCCCCTGCCGTGACCGCCACCACCTCGGTTTTGCGGACTGCCACCGCGGCCGCCGTGACCCCCACGGCTTACAGCCAAGGCTGCCAGTGCGCCGAGAGCCGCACCGTCGTCCGAACAGATCCACTCCTGTGAAACAAGAAAATCCGCAACCTCCGGGAGGGGAACAGGCGCACCATGGGCTAGGGTTGCCACCAACGATCGGAACTCCGGGCGTAAACCGCGAAACACATAAATTTTGATCATCCAACTTAACATGACAGCCGGCGAGGGCCAATTCATCAATTAATATCTAGGCACGACCAAGGTAATAAGATATTGAGGAATCACCTTGACGGAGCCGCTGAAGTTCGTCGAGTAGTCGGAGTGCACGAGAGCGGATAGACGAACCTAGGGTTTGTTCGATTACCTGCCAAAGCTGCCTAGAGGTCCCCTTGCCGACGACGAAACGAAGAGTTTCCTCGAACAAAGAGGAGATGAGCATGGAGAGGATGACCTTGTCTTGCCGACGCCAAGCGAGCTACCGGGCGGGGAGATCGGAAACCGCCGCTGGGGCGCTGTCCGTGGTTGACGTTAGGGCCGGCGATGCCGTCGGTAAGGGTGTTGTACCATCAACAAACCCTAGAAGCCCTTGGCCTTCAAGAAACGGAAGCATCTGAGTTCGCCAGAATAGATAATTTCGGGAGGTCAACTTTAAAGAAACGAAGTGATGAGCCGATGATAGGCTACCACTCGCAGGCATCGTAGGAATCTCGGTAACGGTCCGTTCAGAAGAACCAAGAACAGAGCCGTCATTAACACCGACGTTTTCCATGAGAGAAAACCTAGCTGATACCAGGTGAGAATATATTTTCTGTATATTGATCAAGAGCAGCGGATACAAAGTATATAAAGACATGAAATAGAGATCTAGTCTAATACTACTAATATAATAGAGATCTAGTCTAATACTACTAGTAGAGTCCTAATAGTAGGTAAGGACTAAGGACACAAAATCAAATTGACAATCGTAGTGTAAAAGTTAAAAGTAGATTCAAAGGAGGACAATGGGCCCAAATTGCCCTGCTCCTCTTACCCCACCCTATATATATATATATATATATATATATATATATATATATATATATAGAGAGAGAGAGAGAGAGAGAAAAGATGTTTTAATAGAAGTAAATAATATACTATTATACAAAAAAAAAATACAAAAATGTTGAGATTTCTTAGTTGGTACTTGGTAGTAGGTATGCATCTTATCTTATTCTTTTAAGAAATATCAAAACTTGTTGATTACACTCTATTTGATAATTTTTTATATTTTTATAATAATTGTGATATTTATAATGAGGGTGTTTGGTAAATAACTATTAGCTTATATAGTTGTTAGTTGATTGAGCTAGTGTGTTTGACTAGTTGATAATATAATATTAATTGATTATAGAAAAGTGTTTGGTATATTAGTTATTAGCTGATAGCTGATTACAAGCATGCAAAATGACTTTTTTAAAAAAATGGATCAAAAAAGCTGGTTTAAGCAACTTTTTAAAATTTAGCATTTTTAGAGCAATAAGCTATTACAAAAAGATAATTAATTAAACACCCATATTAATTGTTTAACCAAGTCAAAAAGCTAATGGTGGTCAAATAAGTCTGATAAGTGCATTTGTGTCTATATTTTTACCCCTTCTTGAACCCATTTTATTTGTGAATTCCTTAAAAAGTTGTGTGAATTGTGACTAAGTTATGTTGGTTTTATTTCAAGGTGCAATCATTCACAACAAGTGAGAAATTCAATGATTTTTGGAAAGATCCTAACAATTCTTGGACCAATAGATCAATCAAAGAGTTTGGAATGCATTTAAGAATTTCAAGAGTACCGTACTGCCTCCCGTACGCCCATCCATCAGCCCATCCAAGATCTGAAAAAAGAAGCAGGTGGCGTACGCCCTGCCGTACGCCCGTACGCATGCCAGTACGACCATTCCAGTGTTCACTGGAATTGCACCCAAAATGGTACTGCCTGACGTACGCCCATCTCTGAGGGCGTCCCACTGTGTTCTGCTCTATTTAGGCGCGTTTTTGGGCCATTTCAACTCGGTTTTGACCCATGGTTGAGCCCTAGCTTCTCTCTTTCACTTCCTTTCATATTGTAGTGTTAGATTAGGTTTAGATTTAGGTTTCTTAACATTTCTCAAGCTTGTAATCAAGGATTCAATACTTGGATTCCAAGATTCATCATCCATTTCTTAGTGAAGTTTTCTTCTCCCTTTTATCTCTTTATCTTGTAATGTTTATGCTTTACATTTATGTTTTTGTGTTCTTTATGCTATTGAATCATGAGTAGTTAGTTTATGGACTTGAGTTAGGGTTGTATTATCTATCTTGATGCTTGATTTGTGATTATTGCAAAAAAGGGGAAGAACACCAACATAGGGTTCGTGTGTTTATGAAGGTGTTGTGTTTATATCTTGTTAATGTTTGATGTACACATTCATTAGCTTGTTTTTGGAGGATTCCTTGCCTCAACTAGAGTTGGGTGATGAATCCAAGCCACCCCTTACATAGACCCGATTTCTTCCTACGAAAATAGAGGAAATTGGGGGCTTTAGATGTTTTGTGTGCTTGATGGGCTTGGAATTGATTCACCACGAAAGTGGAGCAATTTCTTGTTCTAATCCTTGTTTATTAATCAAGAGAATGGTTCGTAGACTAGGATACCTACGTGCATTCCCGCTTGATTCCTTAGTTACTTGTTCTCCCTAATCCCTTAGGTTGTTAAAGCATCTAGATGATAATGCTCCCTAGCTTGAGTCCTATTTCTTTATTTCGTGTTTACATCTTGTTCATATGTGCTCGTGTTATTTTGTTTAGTTACCGTAGTCTTAACTTCGTTATGATTTGCTTAGCTTCTTGTTGGTTTCCTTATGCTAGTGTCTAGTTTATTGTGATTGCATATTGCGTGCCATATCCCCCAATCCCCTGAGGACGACATAACACACCCGAGCTCACATCTTATTTTTGCTACATCAAAGTCAAAATTAACTGATAAACTAACAATGTTACCAAACATAACCAATGCATTATTTGTGGTAATAATCATTTAAATTGATGATTTAATTAATACAAAATATGTTTTTTAATTAAATTATGAAACTATTTTAAAAGAAAATCTACTTTTTATGAACTATCTACTATCTAGTCAATGTAATTTAAAATTTTTAATTGTGTATCATCTATTCAAATTAATTTAGAAATGCGTAGAGTTGATCTAATTAACATATAAAGTATTTATGAATATCATATTAATAAAAGTGATTACGAATAGAACATTAATAGGGATTAATGGATTATATGCAATTTATTCCAACCATTTCAAATTTTACATTTTTACTATAAATGCTTTTTTATCATGTTTTGAAGTTTTTTAAGTTTTCACCCCTACTTAATCGTATTTCCAGATCCACCTCCCGTGAGAGTTACACCCAATGTGGTGGCCTCCTTAAGGGTACCAGACACTGATTTTCCTACTTAATTCGATACTCAGTGACCATGACTTATCTCTTCGCTATCTTGTTAAGTCATGATGTGCGGACGTACGCTAAGAGCCAGAGAATTTCACCTCGACAAGAAGTTAAACAAATATATGCATATTGCATATAACATATGTATTAAAGTGGATTGCTAAACAAGTTACAAATATCCAATTTAATAGCTTGTAAATGACGAAACAACTTCTCTATAGAAAAATAAATACAAAGTAGAAAATATAATAAAATTATCTTTCAAACAGTGCACCTATTGCTAAAACAAAGCTCATAAAACAAACAATTTATTATGTTATTATTATTATTATTATTATTATTATTATTATTATTATTATTATTATATATATCCCTATCGACCTTCTTGTGCTGAAAAAGTAAGTTGATTGGAGCACGGTTTATCAGATTCTATAGTAGAGGGGTCATTGCAAATCCGATTTCTTGTAACAAAAGCTGGTTGATATGGTTTAGGTAGATTCATACTTTCATCTGTCAACATTAGAAATACAGTAGGCATGCTAGGACGACGATTTGGATCTTCTTCAACACATAACAACCCAACATTTATGCACTTCAACACTTCACATTCCTTACAGCATCCAACCAGTACTGAGTCATCTAATAAATCCATTGCATTCCCTTCATTCCATAATTTCCATGCCTGAGATAACACAAGAAAAAGAATAGTACGTAAAACAAGTCAAACATAGTAAAATTTAAAAATACTAACTCATTAAGGTTTATAAGGTTTCTTCACTTACATAGCCTAAAAGGTTTGAGACTTCTTCATGCTGATAAAATGCTGTGTTTTTCATTCCACAAATTATTTCAAGTATGATCACTCCAAAACTAAATACATCAGACTTAGTTGAGAAGAGTCCACTTAGTGCATATTCAGGAGACATGTAACCACTTCATTATTACCACGCAATCCAAATATGATGCATGAATTGTACAAAATGAAAAGAAAAGTAAATCTCCAAAATATTAAGTAAAATTGTTTAGAGATATATATTTAAAAAATTATGGATCTGGAAGATTTACTCCATAAAATTCAAGTTAAAGACTACTTACTAGGTGCCTGCAACTTTTTTGGTATTTGCTTCAAATGTATTTCCAGCAACCAGTCTCGCTAATCCAAAATCTGAAATCTTGGGTATCATTTCTTCATCTAATAAAATGTTATTTGTTTTGATGTCCCTATGAATGATTCTCAATCTTGAATCATGATGAAGATATACAAGTCCTCGAACAATTCCCAATATAATGTCAAACCTTTTGCTCCAATCCAACAATAGTCGACGTGTTTGATCTAAATTGTGAAAACGATATAATGTACCCAGTTACTATTGGAATACGTACTGATTGAATTTATTAATATATAGTTGATCAATGGAATACCATCTTACCAAATATGAAGATGTCTAAACTCTTGTTTGGCATATATTCATATAGCAAGATCTTTTCTCCCACTTGTGTGCAGTAACCTATAAGTTTAACGAGATTTCTGTGTTGAAGCTTTCCAATTAGTACAACTTCATTCTTAAACTCGTTGATTCCTTGACTGGATTGACTTGATAATCTTTTTATTGCAACTTCTTGCCCATCAAGAAGCATACCCTGAAATACCATTATTTCCATTATTAGGTATTATATATGGAAAAGCAAAAACATGCTGATGTGAAATGGATTGTTTAGCTATATATCTAATGAGAGATTGAATTGACTGATAACCTTATAAACCGGACCAAAGCCTCCTTCTCCTAACTTATTTGCATCGGAAAAGTTGTTTGTAGCTTCCAATATGCTTTGGAAAGTGATGAGCGGGACGCCAATGCCGTTCTCATCATCATCTGTATCTTCATCTATCGTTTCATCCACTGCAAAAGTTATGAAGTGAATTAAACAGAAAACGCTATTTCAAATACTCAGAATATATAATTATGGTTTTAATCGATGTCAAAACGGAAAATTATATTTTCTCTGATCTACAACTAAATTAAATTACCTGTTATTTTCAATGCGGCTCTTCTCCTTTTGTAACAGACGCAGAAAATAGTGCATGCAACTAGAGCTGCTGCAGCAACTGCAACACTAGCTATGATCGCTAGAAATTGCTTTGAGTTTGTATCTGTATGTTAACACCAAAAGAAAATTAATTAATTAATTAAACACAAAAGAGCACTTCAACATTAACCATTGTGATACAACCTCAGGGTTGTATGTGAATATAATGATCTTCTTCCGAGTTACGAGCTAAACTACAGAAAGGAAGAAAGAAATTAAAAGACATTATATATTGTGCTTCAAGTGATAGTCCAACTCTAAAAGAGTGAGATGACAGACAAATTAATATATTCCTCAATACCTGTTGTCTTTCTACAAATACATATGTAACTATTTATATAGGATCATAGACTACTTCATTAGGGCATCCTCAATAGTTGAGAATTTTATCCCAGATTTTTGTGGGCTCCAACATCCACCTCATCATCCAGTATCTCACTCGATCACAAAATCTCTTCTTCCCATTAATTTTTAACTTTTCCACAACTTTTTGTGGACCCACCATTTTATCTCTATATTTTAATTATTTCTTTATTTATTTGATTTATAAATTTATAATTTTATCATAAAAATAAATGAATTGCATACAATCAAAGATTTTGGAATACAAAAACTCTACAAAAGTCATTTAAAATCCATCACTTTAAAAGTATTTAGAAGTCTTGACTGAATACACCCCCATTAGTTGTTATTCAAAATGTTGGATAACAACGAATATTAACATGCAAATAAAAAAAATGATATTTATTTATTTTACTCCAGAAAAAGATATATAGAAAGAAAATTAAAACATACAACTACAAAAATTTATGTTATAATGCTCTCTATAGCATCCACCATCAGCATAAAAATTGCAAGCTTTCATTTCCAAACTTATAATTAAAATAAATATAGTAAATAAAATTTAAAAAAATAAAAATTGGAAGTAGAATGTGTGAAAGATGTTCTATTTATTTTTTTGAGAATAAAATAATAATTATTAAAAATAAAAATAAATATTTTCAAAAAAAAAAAAGAAAAACAATAAAAAAAAAAAAAGTAAAATAATCTACTGTGTTGCAACAGCACAAAAAGGGCCGAAAATGGCCAAAAGTAATTAATTTCAAAGTGGCCGCCAACTCTCTGAAATGCCCGTTAGGCTGAAGGGTGAGACGCACTTGCGCGTCTCACCCTTTATTTATTTTATTTTATTTTTTTATTTCTGATTTGAATTTTTATTTTGCAGGAAAAAGATTTGCTGAAAATTTGACTTTCTCATTTGTCAAAATCCAATACAAGTAAATTTTACTATTCTAAAATGTGGCAAGATTCCCTTATTGAGGATACCCTTTATAACTACCCATGAATCTCACTATACACCAATAAAGGATGTATCACATGCATGCATTAATTGTTATTAATTATGTACGTACCTTTGATATTTGAAAATTCAGTGGCAGCAAGTCTGATGTAAATTGTGCTTCCATTGATATCATCTTCCCCCAACTGTTTGAGGTTCAAAAGTTGTCCCACCCAAATCCAACAATGACCACCACTGCTATTGCTATAAGCATAGGCGGTACAAGAGCAATTTTTGAGACATGTAGACTCACATTCTGTCTGGGTCTCAGCTGTGATGTTTTGAGGATGTCTTGGCAATCTCACGTTTGGATACATTATGAAGCTGTCCACGTCCATATCCTCTTCTTGGTAATTATTAGTTCCACTACACTTCAAACTGGTGTTCCTTACACAGCCGCCAGAGAATTCATTGAATAATCTCCACTCTCTTTCTGACTTGTACTTGAAACCTTGCAAGCAAACACAAACGGTGGTAGAGTTGTCGTTGCAGAAGCCAAATGGGCCGCAATATGCATAAACGTCGCATTTTTGCAGCGGTTGAACATAGGTCATCATCCACTCCTGGGTAGACTCAGACCACGTTAGCTGCTTCTCCCGCCCATCTACCTGGATTACGTGTCTGCCTATCAAGGACGGGTTTAGCAAATTATAAGTAAAGTAAGTCTGGTTTTCGTTGTCCACGACGGTGAAGTTGAACAGAGGATTGGGCTTCAAAGAAGGATTAGTGTCTGTTCCGAATTTGTGTCCACTTCTCCCGTATTCCTCTGTGCGGTTCCACAATAAAAATCCCATGTCGCCGTTATTGTCAAGACTATATAGCCCGGATGCCGGATCGTCCCAACTTTTCCACGACGTGAACCCATATGTTGTTTTGGTTCGCTTGTTATACCCAAACTTGGCACCGGGAAGATGTGTGTCTGTCGGGTGCTCAAAGCTTTGCCAAAGTGGGGTTGTTGAATTCATGCCATCCTCGCTCAAAACCAAGTTTCCGCTGTCCCGAAGAGTTGCTAGAACAGAGTTTCGCTTCACCGTGGTGACGGAGAGATTGGTTGACCACACCAAGTTTTGTGCCCCGTCTACAAGCACCAAGTCGCCGTCTAGGACTCTGAGTTTGGAGGATTTGATTGCGGAGGAGGGGATTGGGGTCACCCTATTTGCTACCCAAACTACTGTTTGAGGGGAGATGTTTTTGTACCAAATACCAATGTAATACTTGGAAGATTGACCTGGTGTGAAGAAACCCAACTCAAATCTTCCATTGGGAGAGGATATAGTTCTACCCTGAGTTATATATTTGTTTCCAGAAATAATTGTTTCTACTCCATGGGAGAATGGAGTATTCAGAAGAATAAGGAGGCAAGAAAGCACTACAAAGAAATTCATTTCCATTTCAATTCCCTGGTCTTACACAACTCTCTACTCTCTACTCTCTACTCTCTACTCACTAATCTCTATGTTCCAATGCGTCATTAGAGTGGAAGACTTCCATAACCATTGCGTACGTGAACACGAAAGGTCGCCTTGACTTGTAATTATTTATGGCTGCTGTGACCAACTCCCCAACCAAACAAAGAAACAATATTTTGCAATTACTTCAGCCAAATTGATCAAGCTGTTGATTTTATATAATCACAAAATTTCATTATTTGGCTGAAGAGAATTGTAATTTATAAAATTCCCCTGTGAATTGCAATTCTACACTTGTGGGAATTGGAATTCTATGGTAATTTATGTTTTTGCCCTTATTACTGCTATTATTATAAATATATAATATAAGAATATTTTAGTCTTTATTTACTTATTTCCTTTCCATTTCTACTCATTCTATTCTTGCATACCAAACAATGCACATAACTACATGCATGACTTGCACAGGTGTCTTCCGTCTAGATACTAGGTAGGCAACTTATTCTTTAATGAGATCTCTGGATGAAAATAATAATGTGATTTTTATAAGGGAAAATTACATCTTTTAGTTCCTGAGTTATAACCAAGTTTCAATTCAGTCCCTAAGTTATGATCGTATTCGAGTTTAGTCCCTTAATTATGAGCGAAGTGGCGAGTTTGGTCCTTAGCGTTAATATTTTGTGCAGCTAATAAAAAAATTTAAAATAATTTAATAATATAGGGGTAAAATAGAAAATTCAAATTATAATCTACTTCTTATGTTGAAACCTATTGAGCAATAGTCATTCTTTTCTTCTTATACCTACAATTGAAGGGTTTTTTCTTCTCCAAGCTCTGAAATCTTAAATTCGTCCACTTCTAAGCTATGAAATTCACATGTAAGTTGTTTCTCTATTTTATATGTTTAAATAAATAATCAATATTCTTTGTATTGATGAACTAATTTAGCCATTAATTATAGGATGTCAGTTGTGGACTTGTGGTACTTCATCTTTCTCTCAATTTGGGGATAATTTTCGATGTAGATTTGAATTTATTATCCATCAAAATGTCATGGAGTTATGCTAATCGAAGAAAAAGATTCCAAGCTTGTCCATGTTATGGAGTAAATTTTTGTAGTTGTCAAAAAATTATAATTTAAGTTGTTTATTTATAAATAGAATTGAAATATTGAAATTTGATTTTTTTTTTTAAGAAAAACGGGAGTAAGGCTTCTTCACTGATTACATAAGCAACTTAGAACTTTTATCGATTTGGGGAAAGTATTTTGACTAAGTTTACAAGTTTTATCAAGGAATTTACTTATTTACTCTTGGAATTAACTTTGTCAACACACCACTAGCTAGCGTCAGGGACCAAACTCGACACTTCTCTCATAACTTAAGGACTAAAAATGGATACGGTAATAACACAATGACTAAGTCGTCACTACGGTTATAACTCATGCACCAAACTCGCCATTTTCTCTTTTCATAATGTATTATTTGTGGTAATAATTATTTAAATTGATGAATTAATACATACAAATTATGTTTTGTAATTCAATTATTAAAATATTTTAAAAGAAAATCTACTTTTTAAGAACTATCTATTAACTAGTCAATATAATTTAAAAGTTTCAATTGTGTGTCATCGTATTCAAATTAATCTAGAAATCGTAGAGTTGATATAATTAAAATATAAAATATTTATGAATATCATATTAATAAAAGTATTCACGAATATCATATTAATTAATAGGAATTATATGCAATTTATTCCAACCATTTCATATTTGATCATAAATTTTTTTTTTATCATGTTACACCCAATGGGGTGGCCTCTTTGTGGCATCAGGCACTAATTCTCTTATTTGATGAGATGTTGAGTGATCATAATTTACCTCTATGTTATCCTGTCAAGTAAGGATGTGCTCCGGGGGAGTGTGGAAATTTCACATGAACAAGAAGTTTAAAAAAAAAAAAAAAATATATATATATATATATATATATATATATATATATATATATATATATATGCATATAACATATGCATTAAAGTGGAATCCTAAACGAGTTACAACTTTCCAATTTAATATATCGCTTGTAAATGTTGCAATTACTTCCTAAGTTCCTATAGAAAAATAAATGCAAAGTAGAAGACATATTAAGATTATCTTTCAAACACTACATAAAACAAAGCTTATAGAACAAACAACTTATTATATTATTATTACAGATCCCTATCGACCTTTTTGTATTGAAAAAGTCAATTGATTGGAGCACGGTTTCTCAGATTCTGCAGTAGAAGAGACATTGCAAATCCAATTTCTTGTAACAAAAGCTGGTTGATTTGGTTTGGGTAGATTCATACTTTCATCTGTCAACATTAGAAATACAGTAGGCATGCTAGGACGACGATTTGGATCTTCTTCAACACATAACAACCCAACATTTATGCACTTCAACACTTCACATTCCTTACAGCATTCAACCGAGTCATCTAATAAATCCATTGCATTCCCTTCATTCCATAATTTCCATGCCTGAGATAACACAATAAAAAGAATAGTAAATCAAGTCAAACATACTAAAATTGAAAAATACTAACTCATTAAGGTTTATAAGGTTTCTCCACTTACATAGCCTAAAAGGTTTGAGACTTCTCCATGCTGATAAAGTGCTGTGTTTTTCTTTCCACAAATTATTTCAAGTATGATCACCCCAAAACTAAATACATCAGACTTCGTTGAGAAGAGTCCACTTAGTGCATATTCAGGAGACATGTAACCACTTCATTATTACCATAACACACAATCCAAATATGATGCATGAATTGTACAAAATGAAAAGAAAAGTAAGTAAATCTCCACAATATTAAGTAATTAAAATTGTTTTGAGATATGTATTTAAAAAATTATGGATCTTAATGATTTACTCCATAATTCAAGTTAAGGACTACTTACTAGGTGCCAGCGATTTTTTTGGTATTTGCTTCAAACGTATTTCCAGCTACCAGTCTCGCTAATCCAAAATCTGAAATTTTGGGTGTCATTTCTTCATCTAATAATATGTTATTTGTTTTCATGTCCCTATGAATGATTCTCAATCTTGAATCATGATGAAGATATACAAGTCCTCGAACAATTCCCAATATAATATCAAACCTTTTGCTCCAATCTAACAATAGTCGACGTGTTTGATCTAATTGAATTGTGAAAACAATATAATGTACCCAATTACTATTGGAATATTGATTGAATTTATTAATATATAGTTGATCAATGGAATACCATCTTACCAAATATGAAGGTGTCTAAACTCTTGTTTGGCATATATTCATATAGCAAGATCTTTTCTTTCATTTGTGTGCAGTAACCTACAAGTTTAACGAGATTTCTGTGTTGAAGCTTTCCAATTAGTGCGACTTCATTTTTAAATTCTTTGATTCCTTGTTTAGATTGACTTGATAATCTTTTTATTGCAATTTCTTGCCCATCGAGAAGCATACCCTAGAATACCATTTCCATTATTAGGTATTAAATATAGAAAGGTAAAAACAGCTTGAAATAAATATCTATAGAGATAATTTAATTCGCTAATAATAATAACCTTATAAACAGGACCAAAACCTCCTTCTCCTAGCTTATTTGCATCGGAAAAGTTGTTTGTAGCTTCCAATATGCTTTGGAAAGTGATGAGCGGGACGCCATCTGTATCTTCATCCATTATTGCGTCCACTGCAAGTTCTGAAGTGAACAGAGAAGACTATATATTTCAAATACTCAAAATTAAATATGGTTTTAATCAATGTTGTCAACAGTCAACACGTACCTGTTATTTTGAATGCGGCTCTTCTCCTTTTGTAACAGACGCAGAAAATAGTGGATGCAACTAGAGCTGCTGCAGCAACTGCAACACTAGCTATGATCGCTAGAAATTGCTTTGAGTTTGTATCCTCTGTATGTTAACACCAAAAGAAGATTAATTAATTAAACACTATATAAGAGCAGTTAATTCAACATCAATCAACTATTGTTATATATAATGTTATTAATTTACCTTTTATATTTGAAAATTCAGTGGCAGCAAGTCTGATGTAAATTGTGCTTCCATTGATATCATCTCCTCCAAGACTCTAAGTTTCGAGGAGTTGATTGCGGAAGAGGGGATTGGGGTCACCCTATTTGCTACCCAAATTGTTGTTTGAGGGGAGATGTTTTTGTACCAAATACCAATGTAATACTTGGACGATTGACCTGGTGTGAAGAAACCCAACTCAAATCTTCCATTGGGAGAGGATATAGTTCTACCCTGAGTTATATATTTGTTTCCAGAAATTGTTTCTACTCCTCCATTGGAGAATGGAGTATTCAGAAGAGAGATGAGTAGAATAAGGAGGTAAGAAAGCACTACAAAGAAATTCATTTCCATTTCCCTGGCCTCACACAACTCTCTGATTTACTCACTAATATATATAGCGCTAAACTGACGAACAGAACAGACTTCCAATGTGTCATTAGACTGGAATTGGAAGCTAGACTTCCATTGCGTGAAGCCGTGAACACGAAAGGTCGTCTTGACCTTGTCATTATGCATGGTTGTGAGTTGTGACCAAGTCATGGACAACCTAAGTGTAACTCAACTGAAGATAGATATTAGACCTAGGAGTCCTCTCACTTTGAGAGGTTACTTCCTACTATTGTTGGTGAGATCGCTCTCTAGTTATTGCTCCCAAACTTCACGTCACCCATGTGACCAACTGAGTTGCACATGCGGGCATGGACAACTAACCTAACTTGATTTACCTTATTGTGGTCATTTATCAATTAAGGTGATACACGTGTTTATTTGTGCCATTTTTTTTTATGCATATTTAAGTATAATCTTTGGTATCAGGCTATCAGCTTGGTTGCCCCCATTTTGTGGTTTGAAGGATTTTGGCCAGTCTACCCCATTGTTAGGTTAAGAAAATTGTTGTCATGTCTATTTTATATATCAAATCAAATGTGAAATGTGCATCTTATGTAAATATATTTACACTTTTATATATTAAAATATGTACTTGCACAAATTAGACCTTTAAACTACATTCTTTTAAAATACTCATAATTATTTACAAGGTAATATCTATTATTTACTTTCTCAAACATTTTCAGCATAACGAATCTAAGCCCCACCCACCATAGATGTTCTAACCTATATATGACCATTAAACTACTGGGTTTGTACCATCCATGTAATTGATCATGTTGATTCAAACCACAATATACGATCATATGCATGCTTGAATATTTATGGTCAAAAAATTTCATTTACAATAGTGACTGCGAAGTTTAATTTACCTAATACACATCTCAAATAGTGATTGTGAATTTCTCTTGTTACTCAAAAAAATAAAATTATATTTAATAAGTGTTTTATTGTTTATATTTTTATCCCTTTACTTAGCTCATATATTTTGACATTTTGTTCACATACCGCCTTTGAACTTGCTGAATTTAGACTTAATTATATTATATTGTGTGATTTTATCTTTAGGTGAATCTTGTCACAACAAGTGAAGAATTGAAGCATCTTGGGACATTTTCAGTGAAGTTTGGAGCCCATAGTGTGGACAAGCTCGTAGCATCGCCTCCGCAACAGACCCTATTAAGTTCATTTTTTGTTCTTTTTTAAAGAGTTCAAAGTTCAAACCCTAAACCGTGAGAGCTCATTTTCCCTTCAATTTCTACTACCATTTCATTAGCCTAGATTAATTAGCATTAGATTACGGAAGATTAACATTTCCTAAGGTTGTAATCGAAGATTGGAGCACCCATTTTGGAATTCTTCATTACATAAGTTCATCTTTTATTTCATCTCTCTTACATTACGTATGTATTTTTCTATTGTATTTTCACTTATTTGTGCTAAATATGTGTGAGTAGTTTCATTTAAAATTTGGATTAGGGCATTATTATATATCTTCGAGCGAGATGCTCTATTTGGTAGTTCTTGTATGAAGGGGAGGAAACCTAGCAATGATTCTTGATGATTGTGAATAAATGGTCCTTTTAAAAGAACCACCGGTGGTTAAATTTCGAAAGTTGAATGATCATGGGTTGTTTACTTGGACCACGAATGGTTAAATTTAAAAGTCGAAGAACCACATATGATTAATTTAAAAATTTAAAACTAAACATGACAAAAATACTATACTCGGAAGATCTCGGTTGGTATTAACTCATATATAGTATATAGAGAGAGAGAGAGCTGAACTGACGAACCGAACAGAACAGAGTTCCAATGCGTTATTAGAGACAATGGAAGTCTACAGTGGAATACGAAAGGTCGTCTTGACTTGTAATTATCTATGGCTGTGACCAAGTCCCCCACACAAAACAAACAATATTTTGCAATTACCCCATTGTTAGGTTAAGAAAACTGTTATCATTTCTATTTTATATATCAAATCAAATGATTGTGATTGATCATGTTGATTGACTTGATTCAAACCACAATATACAATCATATACTTGGATATTTATAGTGAAAAAATTCAATTTATCCTAGTGACTGCAAAGTTTAATTTAGTTAATACACACTTCAAATAGTAACTGTAAATTTTTCTTGTCACTCAAAAAATAAAATTACATTTATTAAGTGTTTTATTGTTTATATTTTTATCCCTTTACTTAGCCCATTTCATTCACATACCACCGTTGAACTTCCGCGCGACTTTAGACTTAATTGTGTGATTTTATCTCTAGGTGAATCTTGTCACAAGTGAAGAATTGAAGCATCTTGAGACATTTTCAATCAAGTTTAAAGCCAAAAATTCATTATAAAAGGTTTGGAGCAACATTGGATCAGGAGTAGTTCGCACGGGCAACCCCATGCCCATGAGACCGCCCATCTCCGGACACTTGTGTGAACAAGTTCATACCATCGCCTGCGCATTGCTTGTGCTAAATATGTGTGAGTAGTTTCATTTAGATTTTGGATTAGGGTATTATTGTCTATCTAAGAGATGCTCTATTTGGTAGTTCTTGTATGAAGGCGAGGAAACCTAGCTATGATTCTTGATGTTTGTGAATAAATTGTACTCTTATCTTGTTGATGTGTTGATGTGTGGCTTGCAACACATAGAAAATTCAATCACAATGATAATGGATTGAATTTCCAAATCACTTCTTTACACAAACTCTATTTCTCATTATGAAAGTAAGGAAAATAGGGGATTTAGATGCTTATTGTGCTTGAATGACTTGAATCGAAGCATAATGAGGGTGGGACAATTCTTTGTCCTAAACACGTGTGATTATGTGTATTATGATTGACAAAATGTAATAATTATTATATTAAAAAATGCGATTGAGTTTCTTTAAAATTAGCGAAGGCAATAATTAAATTTGGAGAAGTCATCATTCAATTCGGGTCAATGGAATAATAATTAAAATACCCAAAAGAGGAAAGCCAACCAAAAAATGATTAAATGTCTTGAAAATTGACAAAGAAGTGCATTTATTCACGAAAAAATATGTTTATGGGAAAATGACACTTTTTCCCCCTAAGTTATATACTTATAGCACTTTTTCCCCCTCAATTATTTAGGTAAGTACATTAGCCCCTTCAATTATTCTAAAAGTGGTTGTTTTTCCCCCCTAATATATTAAATTGACATTTATACCCTTAAAATAAACATTATATTTATTTTACTTCTCCAACAAATTATTGCGTATACGTAGGGATGACTACGATTCGGTTCGAACGGAATCGGACACTATAGCAATCGAATTAAAAGTTTCCGGTTACGATTCAGATCTAGAACCCAATATTTGGATTTCAATTTATTAAAATTATGAATCAAAAAAATTGGTCCTAAACCGTGAACTGGCGGTTCTGGACCCGATTCGTGATTTTGAACCGTTTTTATTTTAAAATTTTATTTTTATTTTAAAAATAGTCTAAATTCAACAATAAATGTATTTTATTTTTTCAGTTCGGAACATGAACCGTCCGTTCCAGGATTTTAATAAACTCTAAATATCGAGTTTCGATTCTAAATTGTAATTGAAATATTTTGATTTGGTTGCTATACTGTTTATTTGGTTTGAACCAAATTATGGTCATAATTTGTTGGAGAAGAAAAATAAATAAAATATTTATTTTAAAGGTAAATATGTCCATTTAACATTTTAGGGGGAAAAATAGCCACTTGAATAATTGAGGGGGGAAAAGTGATATAAGTATATAACTCAGGGGGAAAAAGTGTCATTTTCCCTATGTTTATTTATACATTTTAATTTTAATTTTAATTTTAAAAAAGAATGAAAAAATTAAAGTAAACACACTAAAATTCTAAAAATTTTATTCTCTGTAGCATAATATATCTTTTTTTATTCTGATCTTTACAGTAATGAAAGTTTTTTAAAAAGATTAAATGAATTTGTTTTTTTTAAAGAGCATTTATTGCTAGTTTGATTTGTGGAAAAGAATTGATTCTATTGTTTTGTCATATTAAAAAATAAATTGTTAAAAATAATTAATATTGAGACTCAAATATTCTTATATAATAAAAAATATGTAAGGGTAATATAAAAATTAATGTTTTAACTTTTTTCTAAAAAAAAAAGTATGAAAAATAAAATATCAAAGAAGAGAAAGGAATTTATTTTGTTCAATTTGGAGAATTCATTTTCCGTTAAAATAAAGTATCCATCGACCAAACAAATGAAATCTACTTTTTAAAATTTGAGAAAAAAATTTCTCCTAAAATAATATTTTCTGTGAACCAAACAATAAAACATGTCATTAAGTTCTGCAACAGGGACATTAGATTTTCAGACTTTAGGTGTGGCTTTACATAATGAAGAAGAAATCACCTGTACACATAACACCATTAAAATCATGTGTAAAAGTTACAAAAAGATGAGGAGAATTCTATGTAAATACCAAGAGTTCAACTACAAGAAAACCTAAATAACTTCAATATCCATATCCTGATTCATCAGATCAGAGGTTCCCACCAGGATACTTCAACTATATAATTGCTGTTCCACACAAAATCTCACTAGTCTGAAACCTATACTATCTACAGGATTAAAATTTCAATCCCATGGGGAACCCACAAGCCTGTTCCATCTTCTGGCAACTATATAATTGCTGTTCCATATTCATGAAAACAATTTGTGAGTTACATTCATCAAGAAATTAAATGTGTTACTTTGTGTAAACATCCCCAATGGCACTCCATCCAATGTGATAGCTTCCTTGTGGGCACCGGGCACTGATTCTCTTATTTAATAGGATGCTCAGTAACCATGATTTATCTCTCCACAGTCTTGTTAAGTTAGTGTGTGCGGACCCTGAGAGCGAGGGAATTTCACCTTCACAAGAAGTTAAACAAATATGTGCATATAACATATGCATTAAAGTGGATTGCTAAACGAGTTACAAATAATTTTCAATTTAATAACTTGTAAATGTCGAAATAACTTCCCTAGCTACAGAAAAATAAATACAAAGTAGAAGACGAAATAACTTCCCTAGCTACAGAAAAATAAATACAAAGTAGAAGACATAATAAGATTATCTTTCAAACAATGCACCTATTGCTAAAACAAAGCTTATAGAACAAACAACTTATTATATTAGTATTAGATCGATATACCTATCGACCTTCTTGTGTTGAAAAAGTAAGTTGATTGGAGCACGGTTTATCAGATTCTATAGTAGAAGGGTCATTGCAAATCCGATTTCTTGTAACAAAAGCTGGTTGATATGGTTTAGGTAGATTCATACTTTCATCTGTCAACATTAAAAATACATTAGGCATGCTAGGACGACGGTTTGGAGCTTCTTCGACACATATCAACCCAACATTTATGCACTTCAACACTTCACATTCCGTACAGCATCCTAGTAGTGAGCCATCTAATAAATCCATTGCATTCCCTTCACTCCATAATTTCCATGCCTGAAGTAACACAAGAAAAAGAAAAAGAATAGTAAATCAAGTCAAACATAGTAAAATTGAAAAATACTATCTCATTAAGGTTTATAAGGTTTCTTCACTTACATAGCCTAAAAGGTTTGAGACTTCATGCTGATAAAATGATGTGTTTTTCTTTCCACAAATTATTTCGAGTATGATCACTCCAAAACTAAATACATCAGACTTAGTTGAGAAGAGTCCACTTAATGCATATTCGGGAGACATGTAACCGCTTTATTATTACCATAACACGCAATCCAAAATGAAAAGAAGAGTAAGTAAGTCTCCAAAATATTAAGTAAATTAAAATTGTTTTGAGATACGTATTTAAAAAATTATGGATCTTGAAGATTTACTCCATAATTCAAGTTAAGGACTACTTACAAGGTCCCTACAACTTTTTTGGTATTTGCTTCAAATGTATTCCCAGCAACCAGTCTCGCTAATCCAAAATCTGAAATCTTGGGTATCATTTCTTCATCTAATAAAATGTTATTTGTTTTCATGTCTCTGTGAATGATTCTCAATCTTGAATCATGATGAAGATATACAAGTCCTCGGACAATTCCCAATATAATGTCAAACCTTTTGCTCCAATCCAATAATAGTCGACGTGTTTGATCTAAATTGTGAAAACGTACAATATAATGTAGCCAGTTACTATTTACTGATTGAATTTATTAATATATAGTTGATCAATGGAACACGAAATAATACAACTTACCAAATATGAAGGTGTCTAAACTCTTGTTTGGCATATATTCATATAGCAAAATCTTTTCTCCCACTTGTGTGCAGTAACCTACAAGTTTAACAAGATTTCTGTGTTGAAGCTTTCCAATTAGTACAACTTCATTCTTAAACTCGTTGATTCCTTGACTAGATTGACTTGATAATCTTTTTATTGCAACTTCTTCCCCATCAAGAAGCATACCCTGAAATACCATTATTTTCATTATTAGGTATTATATATGAAAAAGCAAAAACATGCTGATGTGAAGTGGATTGTTTATATATATATATATATATATATAAATAATGAGAGAATTGAGTGATAACCTTATAAACCGGACCAAAGCCTCCTTCTCCTAACTTATTTGCATTGGAAAAGTTGTTTGTAGCTTCCAATATGCTTTGGAAAGTGATGAGCGGGACACCAATGCCGTTCTCATCATCTATCGTTTCATCCATTGCGTCGTCCACTGCAAGTTATGAAGTGAATTGAACAGAAAACGCTATTTCAAATACTCAGAATATATTATGGTTTTAATCGATGTCAAAACGGAAAATTATATTTTCTCTGATCTACAACTAAATTAAATTACCTGTTATTTTCAATGCGGCTCTTCTCCTTTTGTAACAGACGCAGAAAATAGTGCATGCAACTAGAGCTGCTGCAGCTACTGCTACACTAGCTATGATCGCTTTGAGCTTCCCTGGCGACTGCTTTGAGTTTGTATCTGTGTGTTAACACCAAAAGAAAATTAATTAATTAAACATCAATCAACCATTGTTATATATAATGTTATTAATTTACCTTTGATATTTGAAAATTCAGTGGCAGCAACTCTGATGTAAATTGTGCTTCCATTGATATCATATTTCCCCAACTGTTTCAGGTTCAAAAGCTGTCCGACCCAAATCCGACAATGACTACCACTGCTATTGCTATAAGCATAGGCGGTACAAGAGCAATTGTTGACACAACTGGACTCACATTCGGCCTGGGTCTCAGCTATGATGTTTTGAGGATGTCTTGGCAATCTCACGTTTGGATACATTATGAACCTGTCCACGTCCATATCCTCTTCTTCGTAATTATTACTTCCACTACACTTCAAACTGGTGTTCCTAACACACCCACCAGAGAATTCATTGAATCTCCATTCTCTTTGTGACTTGTACTTGAAACCTTGCAAGCAAACACAAACGGTGGTAGAGTTGTCACTACAGATGCTGAATGGGCCGCAATACGCATAAACGTCGCATTCTTGTGACGGTCTAACATCGGTCGACATCCACACCTTTTGAGCTTCCGACCACACTAGTGTCTTCTCTTGCCCATTTACGTCGATTATGTGTCTGCAAATGACGGACGGGTTTAGCACATTGTAAGCGAAGTAAATCTCATTTTCGTTGTCCACAAAGGTGCGGCTGTGCGCAGAATTGGGCTTATATTTGTCTGTTCCGAATTTGGGTCCACTCTTCCAGTATTCCTCTGTGCCGTTCCACATTTGAAATGCCACACCGCCATCACTCCCAATAGAACTAAATAGCCCGGGTGCCGGGTCGTCCCAACTTTTCCACGAAGTGAACCCATATGTTGTTTTGGTGCGCTTGTTATACCCGAACTTGGCACCGGGCAGAAATGTGTGTGTCGAGTGGTCAAAACTTTGCCAAAGTGGGGTTGTTGAATTCATGCCATCGTCGCTCAAAACCAAGTTTCCGCTGTCCCGAAGAGTTGCTTGAACAGAGTTTCGCTTCACCGTGGTGACGGAGGAGGCGCTGAGATTGGTTGACCAGACCAAGTTTTGTGCCCCGTCTACAAGCACCAAGTCGCCGTCTAGGACTCTGAGTTTGGAGGAGTTGATTGCGGAGGAGGGGATTGGGGTGACCCTATTTGCTACCCAAACTACTGTTTGAGGGGAGATGTTTTTGTACCAGATTCCAATGTAATACTTGGAAGATTGAGCTGGTGTGAAGAAACCCAACTCAAATCTTCCATTGGGAGAGGATATAGTTGTAGCCTGAGTTATATATTTGTTTCCAGAAATTGTTTCAACTCCATGGGAGAATGGAGTATTATTCAGAAGAGAGATGGGTAGAATAAGGAGGCAACAAAGCAATACAAAAGAATTCATTTCCATCTCCCTGGCCTCACACATGCAACTCTTACTCCACAGTATATATATATATATATATATATATATATATATATAGATAAACTTCCCTACCTTACAAGTATTAATTTTATAACTAGTTGTTTCAATCTACTACGTGGACCCTGGTCCAGCCATGATATAAATTGCCTTTGACTGCTTTGAAGATTGAAGACCATTCACAAAGATGGTGAATATTTACCTCACTACCCAATAAATGGGTGATATATATATATATATATATATATATATATATATATATATAAATTAAGTTTCATTGCGGGTAAGTGTCTCCCGTGCGATTGTGCGGGTGATTAATGTGCGTGAGTCTTGTGCTTAAGGTGCGTAAGATTTGTGCTTAATGTGCGTGAGTTTTATATTTAAGGAGCGCGAGTCTTGTGTCTAAGGTGTGTGAGTTTTGTGTGCTTAATGTGCGTGAGTGTATACTTAATGTGAGTTGTTGTTGAAACTTTAAAGTGCATGAGTTTTGTGCTTAAGGAGCGTGAGTCTTGTGCTTAAGGTGCGTGAATGTTGTACTTAATGTGCGTGAGTGTGTACTTAATGTTAGTTGTTATTGATATGATCTTGTATTTAATTATGTCTAGAGCTTGTCTCTAGGGTTTATATCGTGAATCTCGTTGTTGTGATGTCTTGTATTTAATTATGTCTAGAGCTTGTCTCTAGGGTTTATATCGTGATTGTTGTGATGTCTTGTATTTAATTATGTCTAGAGCTTGTCTCTAGGGTTTATATCGTGAATCTCGTTGTTGTGATGTTCTTGGTGTTATTGGGTGGGTTTATGCATGCTTTGTTGTGATGTTCTTGGTGTTATTGGGTTGTTGTGATGTTCTTGGTGTTATTGGGTGGGTTTATGCATGCTTTGTTGTGATGTTCTTGGTGTTATTGGGTGGGTTTATGCATGCTCGGGTGTTGATTCTAGTCTAGGACTTGTCTTTAGGGCGTTATTGGGTGGGTTTATGCATGCTCGGGTGTTGATTCTAGTCTAGGACTTGTCTTTAGGGCTTTGCATATAGATTTCTTGATATTAAAATGATTCTAGGTTTAATCCTTGTTAATTGAATCGATGATGTTGTTGTTACGTGTTGGGATGTGTCCGGACACCTTTGTGCCAGTGGTGCTACCATGTTGGTGGTGTGTCCGGACACCTTTGTGCCAGTGGTGCTACCATGTTGGTGGTTGCTATATGCGCTGACCCCTTGATAGTAGTGCGAATGGCACTTCGGTGGCACTTCGGTGCGTAGAGGCTATGGGGCATGGCTTGAAAGTACAAGAAATTGGCTCAAAGGGAATCATCACTTCTGGGAATCAAACCCGGGTTATTTTGAAATCTTCCCCCACAAAGAGAGCTCATTTGCCACTTGAGCTACCATGTTGGGTTATTTCAAATAATTTTTAGACATTATATTTAAAATATTTTTATATATGTTTGGTTTAAATGAAATAAATATAATTTTTACTTTTTAGTCTAATATATAAAATATTTTTACATTTGATATTGGAACCAAGTTTATATCTTTATATAACATAACTTAAAATATATTCGAAGTCACCTAAATTTTAATTTAGATAATATTAATATTTTTAAGCGGCTAATATTTAAAATATTTTTAAATATATTTATTTGAATAAAATGTATATATATAATTTTTACTTTGAAGTCAAATATATATGAAATTTTCATATCCGATATTGGATCAAACTTGAACATAGCTGAATCTAACATCATCCTATCCATTGGGCAATCGTTATGCCATGGAACCGTGTTCACCATCCATGGTGAACACGGTCCCAACGGTGTTAGTGCACCGTTATCTCTTTTTTTTTTTTTTTTTTTTTTATCGCGTGACTTTTCTTCTTCATTTTCACATTTCACGGTTTCACTTTAATTTGAGGTGAGCAATGATTTCGAACATTCATAAATTATGAATCCATGCCTGCACATTCACTTTGGACCCGTGCCTACACATTCCCGTCCGAAACCATGACTGCTCCTCTGTAGCGCAAGCTTCTTCAACATTCATAAATTATGAATTTTCTGTTATGAAATTATGAATTTTCTGTTATGAGATTATGAATTTTCTGTTATGAGATTATGAATTTTCTGTTTTGAGATTATGAATTTTCTATTATGAGATTATGAATTTTCTATTATGAGATTATGAATTTTCTGTTTTGAGATTATGAATTTACAGTAAATTCATAATCTCATAACAGAAAATTCATAATTTAATAAATATTTTTCTTTTATGCGATTATTAATTTTCTGTTATGAGATTATGAATTTACAGTACATTCATAATCTCATAACAGAAAATTCATAATCTGACCAAACGCGCGCCGTTAACACCACATCCGCGAAATTTTTTTTTTTTACGTAAAAACGGCGCCGTTTGGACCCGTGTTCACCATTCATGGTGAACACGTTTCCGGGGCATAATTTGCGATCCATTGGGTCTCTGGGTAAGCAAATTATATCGTGGACCATGATCCAATACACAGAATTTGACTTTATAATGCACAGAATTCATGTTCATAATACGCATACACAAACACGATATAATGAACATGAATTATGTGCATTATGAACATGAATTTTGTGTATTATATTAAGTGTTTATGTGTCATCAACTATATAATATACAGAACTCATGTTCATTATATCGTGTTTATGTGTATATATATGTATTATGCACATGAATTTTATGTATTGGACCGAGTCCACAGACCACAGTGCACGATATAATGATTGCTCTTGGTACGTACATAGCTAAGCTATCGACTGTCATTTACTTGGGCTTAGAGGTGTCTTGTTGGTAACCTTACCGAGTTTATAGATCTACTTGTCGAGTTGGGTGTAAGACTTACTGGCAATTCCCCAACAACATTAAGTGCATCCTCGAGGGTTTTGGTGTGGGTTTTGAGAAGTTTTTGTATGTGTGATGAGAAAAGAGAAAATGAGAGAATGAGGGTAATAAATAAATAAAAGCAACAAATGTCAAAAAAATATTTAAAAAAAAAAATTAAAATGGGGCTTAATGAACGGGCCCAAAGAATGTGTAGCTCACCGCCATGTGCAGCACACACATGTCACTAAATGTGCAGCACACTTGCCATGAATTGCTTTCTTCTTTCTTTTTCGGGGGTCGGGAACAAAGAACCCGAACCTCCTACAACACACTCTCCCTTCTTCTTCACATCACATTTTTCTCTTCAAAACTTGTGCACAATCTCTTTAATGGGATACTCTAACGACTTAATGTCATAAAAGTCTCTTCATTAACAACTTAAGAATTAAATTACATAGCAAATAATTAAACAATTAAATTTACACCATGATCATTATTATGGAAGAAAATGTCATTTTCTCTAGTAATTACAATTGTAGTGGCGGTTTTGCCGCGTAACTCCATGCAAGACTTGCATAACGTCTTGAGTCTAAGAATTGAATTGGCCATGGCCCATGGGGTCATTCTCATACAAATAACTATAGCGTATGCAAGGAAGCCTATGGCAGAGTGCCAAATTGGCAGGTAGTTAATGAAACTAAGAATGCATTGTGGGCCTAAAATTCCCATGTTTCGTATGTATATAATTGTATAGTAGAATACACATAAACTTTTAACATAATACACATCATTTTAACATAATTCATAATACACATAAACTCTTAACAGAATATAGATAAATTCTTAACAAAATATACATGAACTTTTAACGTAATACACATAAACTTGGTAGGGAATATCCCGACCGACATAGCTTCACCACGACCGAGAAGCCTTTGTCTTTTTCTCTTTGTCTTTGCAGGTAACAGGTCGGGCTCCTTGAGAAGAACCCAGTCGGGGGCCGACCGGGAGTTGCCCGAGCGACGGTGTCGACCGCCGAGCGGTAGCCCTTTGGCGAGAGAGCTGACGAAAGACACGTGGCGATTCTCTACGACGACAGACAGGGCACCCGGGAGGACGACACGTGGTGGCTACGTGGAGAACATGTCGAACGGCTGGAATCCTGTCCCCGGCATAGCGGCTATAAATACCCACAGTAGCTACCGTGTAAGGGACTTTTGGACGATCGATAGGTTGTTGTTAGAGAATCCCGACCGCAGTCAGTCGGCACTCAGAGCAACCAAGTAGATTGTACTTAGGGCCTTTACCGTGATCAATAAAGATATTTACTTGCTTTAATTGGTCTCGTGTTGTTATATATTGCTTACGTATAATTAGCAGTATCATTTTGGCGCCGTCCGTGGGGACCGAACCCACGACCACGTGCAGGCGGCTTCATGCCGAGCGCATATCTGCGGAAAGCAGGCGATAATCCGGTGCGCATTGGGGCAGATCTGGGCCGGAACGACCCGGTAGTAGGCCAAGAAGGCGTTCAGGAGGGGGGTAAAGGGAATGGCGATCGGGGCCATCAGGGAGTCGTAGTGCATCCCGATCCATTTGCCCCGATGCCGATCGATGACATTCCCTAACTTTCGGCTCGTGTCGAATTCCACCCGACCTACGAGCCTTTCAGCAATCCTAGCCGCTTCACCCGTGGTCAATAGGCTCATTTGTTGTTCGACATTCTCGCTGTTCAAGAATTCGAACTCCGCTGCGGCTGGTGCGGCCGGCCCGGCCGTGTTTTCCTCGGCTTGCTCGGGGGTGTTTTCCCGGTCGCTTCCTCGAGCAACGGCTTCCGGGTGGTCCCCAACCACCCGGGTTGGCGTTTCCCTAGCGCCTTCGGTCGGAGATCCTTGTCTCCCCAACGTGGTTCCTTCTTCTTCTTCTCCCTCGCCGGAGCTCCCCGATCCGCTTGAGCTAGAGCTCGATGACCCGGATGAGCTGGGCGACGTGTCTTGTGCGGCGGCCTGCTCGGGGGCTGGCGCCGGTCGGTAGATAGCTTCGGGGGAGTAGGACATGATGTCCACCTCCTCGTCGCTGAGATGCTCGACCTCTTCGTCGTAATCCGCGATCGAGGTATTCTGACTGTCAGAGTCCGTCATTTCGATCTACCTAAAGGTCGATCGGGGTTAGTAGAAGACTTAGAATGTCCGGGACAGTTAGCTGACCTAGAAGTTCTACCTAAAATGGAAGCATAAAGAAAAGAGAAGGGTTGAGAACTTACCGAATGAGGGAACTTCGCGGATGAAAGCTTGAAAGTCCTTGCTCGACTGCCTTGCAAAGGTGCTCTGCTCGGGACTCTCTGAGGGTACCGATTGAAGCGAAAGAGTGAGGAAAGTTCAAATGAGGGCCTCAAGGGCCTATTTATAGGAGGGCATTTAGGCGGGAAAAGAGCCCACTTGCGCGACACGACCAGCGCTGATTCCGAGGCAACGGTTGCAGTCGCAGAGGCCGGCAGTGGCCGACACGTGGCGGAGAAGGGAATGACAGCTGGCCGGTCGGTTTAGCGGCCGGCGGTTGGGTTTCTTCATCCCGGCCCATTTTTTCCCGGACGATCAAAAAGGCCCGGGCTGAGGGGCTCTTGGTAGGGAATATCCCGACCGACATAGCTTCACCACGACCGAGAAGCCTTTGTCTTTTTCTCTTTGTCTTTGCAGGTAACAGGTCGGGCTCCTTGAGAAGAACCCAGTCGGGGGCCGACCGGGAGTTGCCCGAGCGACGGTGTCGACCGTCGAGCGGTAGCCCTTTGGCGAGAGAGCTGACGAAAGACACGTGGCGATTCTCTACGACGACAGACAGGGCACCCGGGAGGACGACACGTGGTGGCTACGTGGAGAACATGCCGAACGGCTGGAATCCTGTCCCCGGCATAGCGGCTATAAATACCCACAGTAGCTACCGTGTAAGGGACTTTTGGACGATCGATAGGTTGTTGTTAGAGAATCCCGACCGCAGTCAGTCGGCACTCAGAGCAACCAAGTAGATTGTACTTAGGGCCTTTACCGTGATCAATAAAGATATTTACTTGCTTTAATTGGTCTCGTGTTGTTATATATTGCTTACGTATAATTAGCAGTATCAAAACTCTTAATATAATACACATAAACTCTTAGGGCGCACAATACATTATACACCCTGATGCACGATATAATTTGCCGTGGCTACCAACTAGTGGTCACCCTAATATGCCCGGTAGATAAATGCAATGCACTTGCCCGATGGGCATTGCTAGTGCGAATTGTGAAACATGCACTAGGTAAGCAGCTTTTTTTCTTTAGACCCACAAAAAGACTTTAAATATTGATAATTAATTTTTACTTTCTCTCATATCTTATCTTTCTTCCATATAAGGATTTTGACATTATTTTTATATATTTAAAAAAAAAAACAAAAAAAAAAAAAAAAAAAAACTCGCATACACATTGTGTTATTGTTGAAGATGCTCAAGTCATTTTCTCATACAACATTATATATATAACAATAAATAAATTAATAAATGAATATATATATATATATATATATATATATATATATATGTGTGTGTGTGTGTGTGTGTGTGTGTGTGTGTGTGTAATATGATTGACAAAATTTAATAATTATAGAGTTAATGTTCAAAATTATCCTGGACTATAGTGGTTTTTCTCAATTTTGTCCTAAACGACTTTGGTGTCATAAACTAGTCCCAGACTTTTATGTTATCCCTCAATATTATTCTGTGTTTGTTAATCCGTCAAAAGGGTGAATATTGGCGTCCCAACTAGCTTCAAGGCAGAACTGTTGGGCCTATGGGAGGATATACGACTCTATCTTGAAAAAGGTCAGGTTTCGGAAAATTGTTGTTGAGTTGGACTCTAAAACGGTTATTGACTTGCTTCGGGGCGAAGAGGGCGACAATGCTGGCTGCTCTCTCTTAACCGAATGCATCTCAATGACAAGCAAATTTGAAGGGATCTTGTTTAATCATACCTTTAGGGAAGGGAATCAATACGCCTACCTCTTGGCTAATAAATTATCCATCTACCAAACAAATAAAATTTATTTTTTTCAGATTTGAGAAAAATTTATCCTAAAATAATATTTTCCTGTGAACCAAACAATAAAACATGTCATTAAGTTCTGCAACAGGTACATTAGAGTTTCAGACTTTAGGTGTGGCTTTACAGAATGAAGAAAGCACTTGTACACACAAGTACATAACACCATTAAAATCTAAAGCTACAAAAAGATGAGATTTCTATGTAAATACCAAGGGTTTAACTATAAGGAATCCTAAATGACTTCAATATCCATATCCTGATTCATCAGATCAGAGGTTCCCACCAGGATACTTCAACTATATCATTGCTGTTCCACAAAATCTCCCTAGTCTGAAACCTATCTACAGGATCAAAATTTGAATCCCATGGAGAACCCACAAGCCTGTTCCAACTTCTGGCATGGAACAGGATTTTGCCGGGTGCCGGATCACTGGACAGTAGATCAGAGCCATTAATTGGAGATGCACACAATATGGCCAGCAGTTGATAAGCCACTCCAAACAAGCAGTGAATGAAATAAAATTAAGCCTTCAGCGCGATTAGGACAAATAACACGTTGTAGAGTAAAGACTACATGTCTGCAACAACCAATTGCATCTACAAAATTCTTCCCATTGCATAACAACCAAGAACTCGCAGGAAAGTTGCAAATTCCTGCCCAAAAAAAATAAGAAAAAAAGTTTGCTCAGAAAAGATGAGTGGTTTTAGCTGCAGTTTAACTTAATGTCCACTTGTCCAGATTTTAAGATTTTATCTCTCATTTCCTCATATGCAGACTAGCATTTTAACTGACGTTCCTCTGTAACTTTCACATGTTTCCAGTAAAAATTGAAAACCAGACCTGCAGATGCCCCAAAGCATTTTGAGCACGTGGTTCTGCCATAGATGCCTCAAAATCAATATAGAATAGGTAGTCAAAATACCTACAATCACAAGTGAGCCAGTACTGAGCATGGAGCCAAGGAGCCAAATTGCATGCTTGTGTCTATGAGCCAATATGCAAAAAAATAAGTAAACTTCTCAGGCCTACTGTATTAAAAAGCCATATCTGAAAGTTTTCTTTCCGAGTCTTAACTCCAATGAACTCACAAGCAGGTCAGAATGTATAACTTGTAGAATTTTAAACCAGTGCAAAACTAAAAACTATTCATGACTTGCCAACACCCTTTGTTACAACTTACAATCCACATTCCCATGTAATCAAGCAATTTGCAGTTGTGTTATAAAATGAGGACTAGCAGTGTGGAAGGGTAATTGGAATATTCTAAGAAATATGAAGAATTAGATATGATATGAACTTGGCAGTAACTTAATTGAGGTGCTGAACAATCGATATATGGCAATGAGGACTAGCAGTCCAGAAGGGCAATTGTAATAGTTTGTGAAATGAGGAATTAAATGCAATATGACCTTGGCAGTAGCTTAATTTGAGATGCTGCATTATTAAATATTGGCAATGAGCAAAGGCGACTTAGTAGGGTAACTGTAATACTCCAAGAATATGAAGAAATAAATGCAATATGAACTTTGTAATAACTTAATTGATTCGCCATGGTACTGTTCTGACATGTAATTTAATGCACCAAATAAGCATTTTTTTTTGTTCAAATATTATGTCAATAAGTAACCAATGAACAATACAATTTATCAAATTTCAATCCAGCAGAATTAATTTCCATAATTGTGTATAGGCTCCAAAACATTAGAAAATGGCACTCACTTGGCAGTCCCCGTATTAGAGTCATCAACAACCCTCAGTGGCTGCTTTCTCTGTGGCCGACTTTCAATCTGAAGATGTGTATGAAAGAAAATGGTTAACTGTTATTTTGCTTTCAAGAATAATTTGTGAGTTCATCAAGAAATTAAATGTGTCACTTTGTGTAAACAGCCAGTAGCTTAACCAAGGTTCAAATTTCACAGAGGACATTCATAGTTTTACAATTTTTCTAAAGACTTTTCCAATAAAGTTGCACATTTTGTCAATGAAGGTACCAGATTTCTTGTTGATGTTACATATATCATTGATGAGGGTAAAAGATTAGCAGTGTCCAGTATCAACATACTCCGTTTCAAAGAAATTTCTCATTCTCACAACATAAACACTGATATGAGATACCTTCGTCAAATTGATGCCCCTTAATGCAAATACGGCCAATGCTTTAAATAGAACTCCTGGTCCTTCTTCCAAACAAAATACAATACTCGTCTGGAAATGAGAACGCCATTGAGTTACAGATGAATCTAAAGAACATGTAACAAGATCAATGAAAGGAAAATCATACCTTGAAAGGTTTATCTGTCCTTGGAATTATGGGGTCTCGGGCTAGTACCAAAAAACGAGTAACGTTGTCAGAGTCATCCTGTAAAACCCATTATTTCCACCAGTTTCAAAACCACAATGTATAGGAAATGGTAAAATGCAGTTCATAGTCTTTATTCCAAGAAGACAAGTTCAATTCATAGTGCTCACTACACAGCCTTATCAGAACTATATATTTCTCAGGGTTGCGTATTTAAATGGAAAAGTTATTCAGTTATACATTATTTTGTTTAGGGTTTGGAGGGAGAAGAAAGAGAAGGGCAGTTTAATCTCATCTTGCAAAGTAAAAGATTAAATGTATATTTCATGCTGCTAATAACTGGCACATTTATATATATATCTTCCATAAACATAAAGATGCTCATACCTGAATCCTTTCAGCTAGTACATTAAGTCCATAAATTTGTGCTGCTCGAGGACTTGCAACAACCCCTGCATCCATTGCTCGCTTTGATGCCACAAACTGGTACAGAAGATAGAAAAACCAATTTGGAGTGTGATATGCAATGCAGATAATATGGGAGGGACTGTCAAGACATGCTGATTAAATCACCTGTGCAGCAACAGCTGGATCATCAATATTTTCCTGAACAACACCTAATTTACTTAGATATATATCACATTGACCAAGTGCCTGCAAGACAGGATATAAGTCAAAGACATGTTCCCTTGAAAAAGAAGCTCATTAATTAGGTAAGTATTCTTATTTACATAAATTGGACAGGCAGGACAGCAGACCTGTGGATGGCTTATGACCCGTTTTAAGTCCTCCATATTGACACCTGGATTTGCTAGAAGGCAGAAGTTAACAGCCAATTGAACCTCGCCCACAATATTCAGCCTATGACGAAGAAGTAAATCATAGTTCCTATGGATGCTACCACTTAAAGAATTCTCAATAGGAAGAATTGCTTTGTCAGCCAGCCACAACTCAACGGCCTAAAGAATATATTCCAGAAGAAAGCCAAAAGGAATGATGGGTTAATACCCAACCACAAATTGGAGAAGTTTTTCAACTAACATTTAGAGCAAACTAATTTGCTAAGAAGGTATTGGCATGTATTCTAACTAATTTGTTATTTTTAGAAATAAAAATAAAAACCATGTGAAAAAGTATATTACATCTTTGCTCTTCTTAAATGGAATGCATAACAGAGTAACATATAGAATTTCTGTGGTCAGTTAGCAATAAATGCTGAAGTTAAACACCACCTTGAATGCATCTTCAAACTCATCACAAGGGACTGTCTCACATTCAGGGTAGGCTTTTAGGGCAGCATCTTCGCTGTATGTACCTGGGATCCCCTGCATTAAACAAACCAAAATGAGAAAGGTTTCAATGCCACTGAGCTTGATTTTTTGAACTTCAGCTGTAATTTTTACTGGCGTAAACATTTAGCAACACATCCATAATCATAGAGCATAATACCTTATATGATATTCGTATCTTTGAACCATTATTCTGAGAATGAGAAAAATCAGCCACAGATAATGGCCCTGGAATAAGTAGAATGCGAAGTATGTTAATTTGTTATATAGAGTATCTGAATTAGTTTCTAACTAAAGGAATCTAAGGAGCCAAGGAGGAACTAAACTACTAAAGGAAATTCAAGCAAAATGCAAGTTTTCCAATTTGTTTTAATTTCATGTTTGGGTGGAAAAAGGGAGGGAGATGAGCAAAAAATCAATGGAAATATTCAGTACCCTTAATTCTATAAGTTGCTATATGCTTATATGTATAGGTGATAATATCAGGCAGATATGCCTAGATCAACTTCAATTTAGTATGTGAAAGCATTTGAGCATTTACATTTATACATTAGATGTGTTTGAGGTGATCTTATTACTCAGAACCTAATCTTCCTTGCTTTTCTGAACATGTTACAGAATAAAGAAACTTCATATCTAAAAAGGCACCAATTAAGTAGAAAAGACAAAGAAACCCACTTGGCAAAGAGTTAAAGTCCCTGTTCAAGTTCTTGGCAAGCTTAGAATCCGTCTGATGAGCAATCTTTGGCAGCTCAGCAGCAGAATTTGATGTACTCTCATCGTCAACAGACCTTACCACCGCAAGGCAGGCTGATGATGAACCTCTTGGAGGCCGGAAACCCAACTCTTTCACACCAAGGCACCCAAAACTCAATCCACTCTTCAAATTCAAAGCCATCAAACCATCAAGAAAGAACAGTTCCAGTCCAAAATTCAATCTTTCAATCCAAAAGAGACAGGAAAGAAAAGAAAGAATGTGTATACACTGTGAATGAGTGGTGGGTTGGTGAACCTCAATGCAGGGTTTCGTTGAGGACTTTATACAAGCACCTGAATTGCGTCAAGAAATGTTAGGTGAAAGTACAGTGTTGCAGACGCTTGATGATATGGGATTGGAAAGAATTAACAAATAGTGTTTGGTGCCATGGCTTTGAAAAGTCCAGATTGAGACGAGTTTTCGTTGCACAGAGTTGTTGAGTGCCGACTGTCAAAGTATGAGTTGGCGACTTGGCGTCTTGGCGCTGCCATTGTAGGTAAGATTTTGTGCGTTTTGTACACAGAACAAATGTATGGGACCCATGTCTATGGTTGATTGAGTTAGGTGATTATCAAAATTTCAAAAAAAAAATAAAAATAAAAAAATTATGCGTGTAGAATGAAGATCCGATCATATCCAAACTTTCTTAGATTGGATAATCTAATCTAATCATTAAATTCATCAAACATACCATATTACCATCCCTCTATCCGTGTCGGTTATTAGTAGTTTAATGATTAATACTTGAATCGCTAATTTGTTATAATTAATAATTTTTAGGAAAATGAGATAAATATGCACTCAATTAGCTCTCTAAACTTTTTAAAGGTACAATTACACCCCTCAACAATTTATTTTGATGTAATGAAGCTCAAAAATTAATTAATGACATGATATCATAAGTCATTACGGATCTGACCCCCTCCGCGAAATTTCAGACAACAAAGTGATCGGTGATCACAGGGTTGCCTTCTCCGGCAGGAAGGCGACCTAGATTTGGGTCACTTTCTCCAGCGAGAAGGCGACAACTGGGTCGCCTGGTTTCCTTCTGTCGCCGGTCGCCGATAACTTTTTTGCTTGAAATTTCGCGGAAAGGTGGTCGGATTCCTAATGACCTGTGATAGCAGGTCATTAATCGATTTTTGAGCTTCATTGCATTAAGATAAATTGTTGATGGGTGTAATTACACATTTAAAAAATTTAAGTGACTAATTGACTTTTCAGTTAAGGCCTATTTGACCATTTTTCTTAATTTTTATTAGTGGTTATAGACTCATAAAGATTCATAATTGCTGCGGAGTATAAATTTATATTATTAAGGTAATTTTAATTGAAATTTTTTATGAGTTTTTCATACAATTTTACTTATTTGAAAGAAAGATGGGAGAGGAGAAATGGGAATGGAGATTGGTACTACATACCTAGTTTTTGTTAGATAAAAGAGGGAAAAAAAGAAAAAGAAAGCATATATGCATGAAGCCAATATGCACACCTAAGAAACGCTTCAAGGTGATCGCCAGTTTTAACTAATTTTTTTTTTTACTTTTTTGCTCCAACTTGACAAATGGCTAACAAAAAGCTCTTTAAAATCTTAAAACCAGCGTGAATGTGGTTATATTATATTTGTTAGAATTATACATTCCGAGATAGTGGGTATGATCTAGGTTCCGTTGTGACCTTGTGAATTAGCTTAAAGTGTGAATACCAGACCAAGTAAGCACATCGATAGTAGGGGAGTGGGTTGGCTTCCTAGCCTAGGGTATATGATCTAGAGAACCATCCACAATTACATCTCATTATAAAGGCTATTAGAGTTTTAACCTGATAATAATGTGGTGTGCTTAATAAAGCATATGTGTGCAGTCTTAGTTGATTTCACATCATATTGGTTTGATTACTTTTAAATAATCATTTGAATATTGGAATCAAAAAATAAGAATTACAAAAATTAAACTTCAGCCAAATTGCACACACACAATTAGTCATTATATTAGTAGGAGCATGCGATCTTAGCAATAAATGATCAATTCTCGATGTCTATCATTCAACCAAAACAAACATTATCCTCTCTATGAATCTGTCTTGTCACGCTAATACATTTCCTTATGCTAGTTAACATAAACCAATCAATAATTAAAAATAAAAAATAAAAAATTGTGAGTATAAATTGTGGGCCTAGAGTTATTATTAGTCATATGTTTAAATTTGTTGTCATAAGTTCAAATCTTGCATGTACTTGATAGTATGTACTCAAAATTGTTGTGATGAATATTCTTATCAATATTCATTGATAATTCAGTTATGTAATACGCTACATTACATATCGATCGTCTCAAAAAAAAACAAAAAAAAAATATATTTACATAACACCTGCAAACACACAAGAGTAATTAATAAATTGAAATAAAGTATAAAAATCAAAATTAAAGGACTTATTAAATTCCAATAATAATAATAATAACAATTTTAAGTTTTAATTTTACTTCTTTTAATTTTTATTAGATTAGATGAGTACAACCACCAAATGAAATTAAAGCGAAAGACAAGTTAGTTAATTCTTGTCTCGGCCACGAGAACGGCCTAAGGATTGTTGTGATCCCCTCAAACCAGCTGTAGAAGGTGATTCATGAAGACAAGATGGGTGTTGGTTGCCGGCAACGTAACTAGCCCTAGCTTCTTGGGATATCTTCTTTGGGTTTCTCCCACCTTTCTCACCAAAAAAGATGAAGTTAATTCATTCTAATTTTTTTTTTTTTTTTTTTTTGCATATGTCTAAATCTGATCTAAATTTAACCTGATTGCACATACAAAGTTTGTCTCATACTTAGGCTCTGTTTGGCAAACCTAGCTGAACAGCTATAAGCTATGAGCTGAAAGTTGAAAAGCTATAAGCTTGAAACTGAAAACTGAAGAGCTGTTAAGCTAGCTATTATGATTGAAAGTGTTTGGTAAAATTAACTTTTTGATAAGCTGATAAAGGTAAAAAGACTAAAAAGGACATCTTCATAAAATTTAAATTATTTTGTTTACATATTAAAATTTAACATTTTGTCTTTAAAAAAAAATAACATTTTTAAATAAAACTATTAGCATAACCATGATCTAGCATCTCATAATGAAGTAGCAATATTGTTGCAAATCTAATAATAATAATAATAATAATAATAATAATAATAATAATATTTGCTGTGAAAGTTGCGAATAAATGAGAAGATAAAGGGGTTTTAATTGGAAGGGTAAATTATGTCATTTCTTTAAAATAATAAGAATAAAGATGAAAAAATAGTTAGGAAGCTAGGAGCTTATTTTGAAACGCTACCTTTTTCAAAATAAGCTCTTATTTTAAGCTAGGAGCTTAATTTGAAACAGAGCTTATAGCTTATTAATAGCTTAAAATAAGCTATAAACTCCTAAATAAGTTCTGTCATAGCCTTAGAGAAATCAATCTAATTTTGTGTTACATATAAAGCCAATTAAGTTTTATGAGAACATATTTTCAAAAAAAAAAAAGTAAATAAAATAAAATGAGAACATGACTTGGTCAAACTGCAAAAACCACATGAAGTAATTAATGTCTTTATCAGTTTTGCTACCTATCTTCCTCAAACTTTCATCAACATATTTGATCACCCATCAATTCTTACCTAACATACACACACACACACACACACACATATATATATATGTTCATGCATATATATGCACCAGAAACATGATCAATATGATCTTTTCCCAAGCATGCATGCACATAGCATATAGCTAGCTAGCTAGAACAGATATATCATACATGATTATACCAGTATTATCGGTGTCAGTATCAATTCACTTTGTAAAAAATTATTGAAGATAACAAAGAGCTGAGATTGAAGGATAGAAGTGAAAAAGAGAGAGATATTGACGCGGCTCAATCAAAAACACATGGCTATATATGATTTCATGTGGAGTATTTAGCCATGTATCTTCTGATTGAGTCGCATCAATATCTCTGCTACTCTACTTAACTGCAGTATCGTTCGTTTCTCCCCATTCAATTCAATTCCATTCCCAGAATTGAATGATGATATACTGCTCGCCATGGCAGCTGCCTTCTGAAGCTCAAGTCTGCAATTAAAATAATTCTCCTGAATTTTGAGATGAAATGCATGATTTGAATAATTAAGCAGATAGATTTTCAGAGAAAGAGTTGTAGGAATCTGAGGGGGCCGGCCGGGTTCTCCTCTTTCCTGGAACACATACATATGAGGGGAATATTTGTGGTTTTGGAGGTTTTATTTGTTCCTGGAATATTATATTATCTTCAGCTACAGTCTCCTCTATCCTAACCCTAATTAATTAATCATCAAAACGTGGAGGGACGGCCCGGCGGCCATCACCGAGGACCCACCGTGACGCTAGCTTCCATCTCCGATCCTCCCACAACGCCCTCTTTAACATTCATCATCACTAATATAAATCTTTTTTTTTTTGAAAGAATATAAATCTTATTTATCATCCCTAGCTAACTCAACTACTCTAACCGCTTCATACCAAAGATGAATAAAAATCACGAGTAAGAGTCAAATTCTGTAACTTCACACCGTTCATAGATTGGTGAAAAAATAACAATGTTTTTAACAAATCAAATCTTGCAAATTAAAGAAACATGGATGCTACTAATTACTAAAGAAAGAAATCTCTTGAGTTCCCTTAGAATTGGGGATTCAACCTTTTGGGGTAAGAAATCTCTTGAGTGATCGAAAATTTTGGGGTAAGAAATCTCTTGAGTGATCGAAAATAACAACTATAATTTTTTTATTTAAATTCTCAAAATTTTACTACGTAAGATCATGATCCAATAACCTCGAAAATCTTTAATTTAAAAAAAAAAAATGAACAGGAAAATAAGTCAAGTCATGAGGGAGGGATATATAGTGGTGGGTTTAATGTTTAGTAGTAGTTCTGCTGTCACTGCCAGCGGCCCATTGAAGTTCAACTGCTACGCGTACAACTTATCATTATTAATTTAGTTTGTTCCTTTTTGCTAGTCTACTAGTCTACTGCTAAGGATTCCATTTTATTCCATTTTCCACAATGGTTACGTTAGTGCAAAAGCCACCATTACAAATCATTACCTTAAAATTGTCGTCATAGCTAACATTGCATTGTCATGTTAACATTTTTAGGGTAATCTGATTGAGTAATGATGTAGGAAAAGTCTATCATATTGATTGGCATGATCGATGACACCAATGTGTTTAGAGCATCTCCAATAGAGATATATCTTTAGCTCAGTTTTTTAGGAAGTTTAATCCAAGGTGGAATAGAGAGTGTGTTGAAGAAAGAAGATTAGGGTTGTTGCAGAAGTGATGGTTTTTTTTTTTTTTATCCCTTGAAGTGGGCTCCACGTACAAACTGAAACAAACAAACAAAAAATTGCAACTGGTAACGCGCACCAGCAACGCCTGGGCGCGTTGAGGGTGGTCACCAACTGCCGACCACTCTCATTAATTGCTTTTTCTTTTTTCTTTTTCCGGCCTGTTTTTGAATGTTCTTAACACAGAATACAATCATGTATGCTTTTAAGACTCCGTATCAATTATTTTTTACAATGTCTGATGCAAAAGGTACCATTGCAAATCAATGTCTTTAAATTTTCCTAAATAACATTGCATTGCCACGTTAACATTTATTACCTTGCTAAGGACTGGTTGTCCAGTTAGGTTTCCAGAATGATTTGATTGAATATAAACCAACCCATTTGAAACTAATAAGGACAATTATGGCAACATAAATGGCAATGGAACTTTTTTCACCCAAACAACTTAGTACAAGGGACAAATTGCTGCCTAGGTTTGATTAAACAACAAAACCCCAACATAGTACACTTATTGGCAAGAAAGAAGGCGCCAATTAACCCAAGAATATGAATCGTCCAATTGAGCACACACAGCTAAAAACATCCTCTGCCCTACTCCCACGTCCTAATAAATGCAAACCCCATTAATGGCTGTCATCAAACCTGTCCGGTCTGCTCTTTCAAACCCTCTCTTTCACGCTTCCTTTAACTTAATTATTCCCAACTCCCTTTCTTGAGTAGTTGAACAATTTATTGCCCTCTTCTTCAACCTCCCCCCTTTCAATTCTTTTTTAATTCCCATTTCCACATTTCAATTCCCATTCCCATTCCATTCTCTTCTCTCCCCTTTGGTCACTTTCAATCCCTTTGGTTGGTAGTGCTTGTGAGACTCTATAATGGAGTTTTTTTTGTTTCTATTAATGGGTTGTTTTGTTTGTATGTTAGATAGATGATTGCACGAGGTATTGGTGCGGTTCAATGAGAAAGCGATCAAGGGTATTTCTTTACCCTACTTTTTGATTGAGCCGTGCCAATATCACGTGTTAATGGAGTTGGGACACCTTTGTGCCCCATCACCATTATTCAGATTTGGGTGTTTTTTTTTTTTTTTAATCTTCATTCTCCCCTGGTAAGATGATCTTTTGCCATGTGCCCAAATTGCCTTCTTATTACAGATTCCTCTTTCCCTGTTTATTTCTGCAAATCTTAATTTCTTTATGATGAAAAAGCTCAATCTTTTGTGGTACTTAACAGGTTGAGGATGCCCTTACTGCACAAGTTCCTGGGGAGAAATCCTGAATTTAAGAGTGACTTAAAGATGAAGATGCCTAGGAATGGAGGGGCACAAGAATCTGTACCATAAACTGTGTTTGCTTTCCACTTTTGCACATTAATGGCGTATAGTGTTATAGAAAGTTTTGCTTTTTTTTTTTTTTTCTTTGCCCCTCTCTGGGTCTCTGCAATTTTCAAAATGTGCACATGAAGTAAAGGCAAAAGGTCTATAGTAAAACCAATACCCTGCAAATCTATATGATTTTCTTTTCATCTTTCTCAGATAGATAGTGGGGAAACTGGAAAAGCAACAAGATTTTCATATGCATTTATAAGATTGTGTAAAGAAGTGAACACTAACAGACTTACAATACAATGAACACGCTTAACCATTTGCCATCTGCCTGGCTTTCAAAACCGGTATGGCAGTCACTCTTTGCACAGCTATGTTCCCTTCTCTGCTATCCATTTCCCTATCTCTTGTGGTGTATCGATGTATATGTAGTTTCTGTATCCTAACGCGATAAAGAGAGTTGCAGCCCTCAATGCTCAATGCTGCAGCCTATATTCAGAATACAGCATTCCACAAAGCTTTCTCGTCCTCCCTACAACGTTCGTGGACCTCTCTTATCCTCCCAACTGACCTGCATATCCCGCTGCAGGTCCAATCAAATGAAGCAACACAAATGTTGCCCGCCTGAGCCTTCCATTCACAATCTGCAAAAAAAGTGTGATTTTTATGAGGCAGATGTTTGTAAATGGGGGAATGGGGAGAGTATATATTAGTATAGTCCAAAGTAATATGATTTCTGAGTTTATGATAGTCTGTTTTTGTAAATGGTAACTTACCAGGAGGAGTCCCACAGCATAATCTCCTGTCATCAATGTGGTGCACATCAAGCCCGATAAACCAAGATCCCAGTGAAACATCCTCGTTAGCATATTTGTGCAGCACATGCCTGTAGCAGGTGAAGAAACATTATTTCTCGTCTTTGTCTTGTCAAAAACAAGAGAAAAGAACCAAGAAAACGAAACATCAAGACAAATGCTTAACTGGTGTACTGAAATATATGTGGCCAAGTCTTTTGAAATAGCATATATTTGCCCTGTGGCATGGCGAAAATACTTGTTTCCACTATCCCCGAATTTCCAGTATTCTGGTTCATGGTATCTTACTCCCCTGGTATCAAGAAAATTACGATGTTAAAGTCAATTTAACCTCTAGCCTGCGGGCTGCAGCTTGATCAACCAGAATACATAATCCAATTGATAGAAGCAACCTCTGTGCAAGGACGGGACCAGATTTCATGCACCCTATGTACACACGTGGTTTTTTGCGGTGTCTCACTAATATTTCTCCTAGTGTTCCTGCAATGAAATTAAAGAATGAGCAGGTTTGTGCAAAGGGATTGTTAAGGAAGAAGCTAACAAACAACCAGTGTTGCAAAAATCGCGCTTAGGCGCTGATTAATCGCCTCCTAGGCGCCCTAGGCGGTCCCGAGGCGCCTAGCGATTTTTTCATCATTGCAAACAACAGAGATGTTGGGCAGAGGCCGGTGAAGGGGCCAAGTCCAGCACCAGATGGCTAGGGAATTGTTGGGCAGAAGCCTGAATGGCTAAACCCAGCACCCTTCCTCTCGAAAATGTAGTGGTATAAGGAAATAAAGTTGTGTCTTCGCTACTAGTTAAAGTTTTTGACGTAATGGTTAGCGTTTGATCCTAACAAGAGGTCACTCATAGTTCATCAAATTTAGTAGAACATAGAATAGATCATGAGTGTAGCCAGTTACCTATATTTACATGAACATCATCATCAACTTTGATGTAGTACTCTGCATTCCATAGCTTAACAGCAGTGGAGAAGTAAGTCTTTGTCTTAGCGGACAACTCAAGATACCCCTCAACGTGATCCTGCTTAGATGGTCACCGGATCTTAGATTTTCTAACTGCTTAAAGTGTGTGCAACGAGAGCAAAATTGGTTGATGGGATTACCAGTCGCAAGAAATCTCCATGCATCTTATCTTCAGCTTCAATGGCATTGTCAAGTATACCACCTAATGTTGCACTGCAGTACAAATTAATGATTCCATTTGATAGCACCCAAAAACATTAACTAGATTGCAAGTCTTTTTGTACATTAACAATATCAGACAAATAATGAGAATGCTCGCCAACATGCAATGAGTTCATTTTTTAGTTGAAAAGGTTTGGATGACAGAATTGAAGAATGAATATGATTTGGAGTAAGTTCAGAACCCAATACCCATGGCCAATGACGAAACGAATGATGATTCCTTTCTCTTCTTCCAACTTCTTCCTTTTTTCGCCTATGCAGTTGCATCAAAACGAATTCAGATAAATGTGTGAGTAATCAGAATGATTTGGTCACAAGCTAAGAGAGTAAACAAGAAGGAGCCAATCAGAAACCTTGTGGCATCCACGTAGCACGAACTGAATCTCTTCTTTGTCTGCTGCTAAACGCAGTATTGATTCCTATAACCATAAAATATTTTCTTCTGGGTGAATCAGTCTTATTGTCCTCTGACATAGGAGAGCCACCTAGAATCGACTCCTGAGCTGCCTTTGCTGCAGCCAACTCCATTTCCAGATTTGATATTGTTTTGTCGAGTGTCCTGCACAGAGTTTACATTCACTAATTGGTACTAAGGCCATCGCGTTGCTCAAAGTACAATACCAAGTCATACCCTTGAAGAGAAGAGGAAGGGAGATGGGGTGGAGCAGAACTCACTGAATAGCATGATGTGTTTTAGAAACTTCTCCAAAAATCTCTTTAGATAACTTCACACCTTTTGGCTGCTGCAAGTAACCGCTCATGTCAGAATTCGGGAACATCGATATCAAAAAGGCAAAAGTAGGGGGCAACGCCAACCAAGTTGGTCAAGTTGTTGATTTAGTAACCACAAAATTACAAGTTCGACTTCCAGCGGAAGAAGCCTATTGGCCTTCGTGATTTGAGCTGGTCAGCTATAGGTAACCTAGGTTGGTTTACCTCCTTGTGGTCCTTTGCCAGTTAGGGTCACAAGGCGGGGTTTACTCAGTGCACACCTTCAGGTAGTGACTGCGGGTTTCCCTCGTCACTCAAAAAGGCAAAAGTTAAGATTACCCAGGTTTCAAGATTCAAGTTGCAGGTTAATTTCTACAGCTTAAAATTGCTAACAATGGAGATAAAGAAGAGCATTAAGACACTCACATATTCTGCATTGCAGTCTTCTGAACCTAACTTCAGACCTTCATCTTCACCTGTAGCTGTTGCAGTCCCTTGCAATTCAGAAATGGTCCACATCCTGTCAAATTTTAGTTTTAGAGTTGAAAAACCAGACAGATTAATAGGCTCACAGCATCATATGTTCCAATGTAAGATAACTAAAAGTACACATAACGAACATCTAGCAAAAGCTTTTATTCACAGTAATCACCTCTAAGATTCATTTGAATGTACAGTCATTACTATCCAAATTACATTCAATTTCAGATAAGTTTTGAAATTTTGCACTCACAAGGATAGATTCTCAATTTACCAGGAACATGGAGGCAAGAAAGAAGATTGTCAAAGTGACTCCTAATATTGCCATGAGAGAATGATAGTAAGAATGGTGATATATAAGAGCATTGAAAACCTTAAACATCAAGTGATTTCTCCCAAACAAGAAATGTCAATGTAGATCCAGAAATTCTAGACCTCCTTCACCATCCAATGAACAAAAATGAGAATACTTATAGTGCACAACAATGGCTAAGAAACTGCAAGCCAGTGAAACAGCAGAAAACTGAACTATGATAAAATCCAAAAAAGAAAGATCCTCAAACACAGCAAACTTACCCTCCATACATGAAAATCACCAGAAATATGATCAAGTTAAGAAATGTCACAATGGGTCAAGATTCTAATAATCCACGATAAGAAAGATATGAAGTGATTACCTATTGGTGAAGAACATTCCAGCACAGAAGCTACTTAAGCAAAGAAAAAGTGTCCATTTTTTAGAAATTGCACTTCTTGAAGCCAGCTCTCCTCCCCTGCTCTTCACAGACATTTCCAATTCAATGTCTCCGTGTCTTCCCTTGCTCATCAAAAACCCATTTTGAAAACTGGGTTGCAAGAATCCAATCAAATCAAAGCGCCCAACAGGCCCAGAAAGGATAAATGATGATCAGAATGTAAACACAGCTGTTTGACAATGAGTTACTGGGGGAAAAAGATACTAATCATAATAAGGGTTGTCTTCCCCTTCTCTCTCTCTTGAGTGCTGTGTACTCTTTGAAGAGAAGGGACTTGGAGCAGAAGTGAGAGGAGACCTCCTAACTGCCAAAAGATCACACACACCAAATTTACCAAACTGTCCATGTCAGAACCCAGAAGTCCCACTCCCAGTTCCCATGCTAAATTTCCTCTTTTTAGCTCAAACACCATTCTGAACTCTAATTTACAGGCACATAAACATCCTTAAAATCAATACTAATCACATTCATTTGACAACAAATGAATGTGAATATATGCTGGAATGCTTTTCAGAGGCTATGTAGTAGTGTGACAGGGATTTAGCATATGCTAAAAAGATAAAAAGGTGGGTAACTCTAATCAAATTAGCCAGACTATTGACTTCAATCAAATTAGTCAGACTGTTAATCACAAACTTATAAGTTTGACTCTCAACGATAAAAGCTTATTGATTTGAATTACAATCTAAACTTGTTTACCTTCGTGTGATCTTTTGCAGGTTAGAGTTATATTATCGGACAATTACAACGAATTTCTCCCATTATCTAAAAGATAAAAGGCTAGAGAATCTAATGCCTTAGACATGTCACATGTGCAGATGCAATAACCCAAAAAAAAAAAAAAAAAAAAAAAAAAAAAAAAGAATTGGTTTGTACCCCCAGTACCTACCCCAATACAATTGTTAATGATTATTTAGTACGTGTATTAAGCAATCATGTGTGATGTCTTTGTTATATTACCACCTTTTTTTCTGATAAAATTGATTTACATAGTCAGATATGAAAAGGGGAATAAATAGCAATTGTAATTAAGAAAACTAATACGGTAATATGATTGCGATTATTATTATTACTTTTTGCAAAAAGAGTTGAAATAGCAATTAAGAGGTTGGCTTGTGGACCTCATGGTGGAAGACCACATAACAGTGAAATTGACAACTTTTGGTTTTAGGCAACTAAATTTGTAGTACAGTATTTGTTTTTATGAATGCACTAACTCTGTTACATTATAGTATGTGTTCAAATATACTTTCTCAACTTAATGAAACACAATTCAAGGCTCGATCTCATGACATCCCACATAAAAAAAAAAAAGAATTATTACATGTCATCTGAACACAAAGTGTAGTACAATATATATTAGTATGGTAATAAGGAAAACGTTTTATTAATAATATATTTTATAGTCGAATTAGAGTATGTAATAATCTTAAATTTTTGTGTTTTTATATTTAATTTAATTATTTATATTAAAAACTAATAAAAATTATATCATTTGGAATGTTTCACATGTGATGAGTAACAATGTGAGACATGATTGATCACCCATGACCCAACGATGGGAATAGTCACGGAACATTGTATTACCCAGCAAAATTTCTTCAGCATGTGATCAATCTATAGTGGGGCACGTGGCATATTACAATCTGGTGTTATTTGCATGTTTGGTCGGACCTATCCATGTCTTCTTCCTTTTTTACTTTTTAAAATTAATACTTTGATCATGAAAATGAATACATAACTAATGAAATTTAAATTCCAAAAATAAAATAAAGAATATCATATTCCAAATAAAAACAATTCACTTAGTATAAAGTGGAGAAAAAAAAAATTTTGAAGCCATAAGCAAAATCACAGATTACACCTCAGTCCATAACACTTCTTAAAAGCAATAATAAAGTTTTTGGTAAAAAGATGACTTTACACCTAATTTCAAGAATTTCAAAAGTTACTATAATTATCTCTATCTCTAAAATATTTTCACTTTGTAAGAATTATAAATTTTACAATTTTTAAAATATGTGACAATTAAAATCCTTATAAGAATGCATATAACCTAACACAATAATCATTCTTGATACAAACTAATTTAAAAAAGTATCACAAATTGTATATTAATCTTCCCTGTTGCCATCAAGAACTTAATTGAAGCCACACAGCCTCTCTACTCCAAATATCTTCCCACTTTGCTCCCTTTTATATTTTGTTAGTTATGAGAGAAACCTAAACCTCAAGTATATTCAGAACAAGTTCAAATTATGAGATGGCAAAACTCAAAACCATCCTCCATAAGCATATGACACTAACAACCAAATTGTAGCTTGAATCATCACACATGAAGCATCAAATTCTAATTGCTTCAGAAATTAGGCCAAAATCGCAGATAGAATTGCGTGCACTCACTAGAAACACAAACCCAGAAATTTAACATTTAAACTGCAGATGCAAGAGAAAATTAATGTTTAGGAGATAGTCATCCTAATTTCACTTTATTCATCCCATTCTGCAACACACTCAAAAACCAATATTTATTTGAACGTGAACTCAGTAGAAATTGAAGCAACATGAGTCAATACAAGCACAATTTACCAAATGCCAGTTGCGAAATCGCACTAGTTCATTGAAAGGAAGCATGAAACCAAGCTCCTGCAGACAAACTACAAGAGCAAACTTCAATCAAGCCACAAAACAATGAACAGAAGATGCAAATGGCCTTTCATTAGTAAATCAAATCTCCATCTATAGCAAAAAAAGCGATGCCTTCATGATGACTAGAAAAAGTGTTTAGATTATTCCTAATTATGTATCTCAAGATCATTTATCAGTTATTAGCCTCTACCGTCATCATTTATGAGATTATGTGAAGTTACAATTGACTTGCAATTAAAGCCATAGAACAGTAGTAATTTGCACTGTTAATGAAGTTTTCATTTTAAGTGAACTTTTATTAGTAAAAATTGAGCCCTAATTAATACTCTTTTTGTACATCAGTCTATTCAATGAGCAACTAGAACGCTTTCACTATTACTAAACAGATCAACAACCGATTCATGCGGCTGCGAGACAGGACTAGACGGGCCAGGGACAGAGAAGAACATCGCCTTGGCGGCGACGAGTTTCTTCCTCTGCGGACAACGCGGGCCGCGGATCCGGACCGGGGAGCAGGGAAAACCATCAACAGGCACAACGTGAGCCGGAGAACTCGGAGACCGGAGGGGAGATGAGATCTGGAGCTGAGAAGCAAAGACACGGTGAGTTCTGGCGCTGATTCGCGAATCTCTGAGCTGAGCCAACGCGCCGGGCTTCAGGTACCTGAGATAAGAAGCCGCGGCGGCGGCATCGGACTTCCGAGATGTGCGGCGGTGCATGGTGGGATGTGATGTTGATTTAGGGTTGAGAGATCTAATGGAAGACGAGAGATAGAGAGGAGACTACGGATTTGCAGATGAAGAAGTGGGGCTGAAGGGATTATAATAGAAAATGAGGCGGGTGATAGGTCATAGGCGGGAAGATAAAGGAGGGAAAGAGTGGGGGGAAGAAGCGGATTATAGAGCGCGGTTTCAAAATATAATAAAAAGGGTAGAGGCGCCAGATTCTAATATTATTGGGTTGGGCTTTGTGTACGGTTTAGTTTTCCACTTTTCCCGGCATTTAAAAAAAATTACCTTATTTTTGAACTTCAATGTGCATTTGTATTGGGAGACTAATTACTAACAATGTCATGACAACCTATGAAATTCAGCATTATTTATCTTTTTTTGAATGCCAGCATTATTTATCTTAATAATAAGAGAAATAAAAGACGTGTGGGGTATGTGAGTCTTAAATTTGACATTAGTAAAATCTATGAGAGTTCAGGAACGCGTATTTTGAATGCTATATTGAGGAAAATAAGTTTTGTTGAAAAATTGGTTGATTTGTTATGGGAGTACTTCACAATTGTCACCTACACTGTGTTGAAAGAAGGAAACAAGTTGGGGCATATTAATCCTCAAAGGGGTTTGAAACAAGGGGATCATTTATCTCCCAATTTGTTTATTTTGATGATGAAAGGGCTTAGTGGGATGATAAAGTCAAAAGAAAAATGAAGAGCAATTCACGGGGTTCCCATTGCAAAGGAAGCTCCGAAGGTCACACACTTTTTGTGTGCTGATGATCTTTTTTTTTTTTTACAGGACAATCTTAAACGAAATTAAAATCAATGCTTTAAAAATCTGCTTACTGCTTTCTCTAAGGCATTAGGATAGATGATTAACTTCCAAAAGTCTTATATGTTTTTAGTAGAAATGTGGGTGAAGGAAGCAAGGATGAGTTCTCTGAGATCTAGGGGGTTAGGCTAGGGGTTATCAGGGCACATATTTGGGCTGCCCCTTTGGTAGGAAGAAATAAGGAAAAAAAAAAAAAAAGGGATTCATCAAATACAAAGTTATGAGAAGAATCAAGAGTTGAAATAACGAGTTCTTATATAGGGCGGGGAGGGAAATCTTGTTTAAGAATATTATGCATTCAAGCAATACCCACGTACGCTATGAGTGTCTTTAATACATCTTATTTTGTGTAAGGATATTGAGATATTGATGAATGGGTGCTGGTGAATATGAGAAGGGGGGGGGGGGGGAGATTCGTTGGGATGCGGGAAAACTTAACTAAAGCAAAGCATTTTGGAAGTTTGGGGTTTAAGAGAATAAGGGAGTTTGATATCGACATGTTAAGGAAACAAGTTTGGAGGCTAATCCAATAGCCAAATTCAACGGTTTCTAAGATAACGAAATCAATATATTTTCAAAATTTCAATTTTTTAGAAGCTAAAGTGGGGAGTATCCCATCATATTGTGTGGAGAAACATCATTGAGGCTCAACCAATTATTACCAACAATTACATGTGGAGGGTTGGAGATGGTTGGAGATTGTAAGTCCATCAACATATGGGCAGATCTTTGGATTCCGAATGATACTTCATCCTATGTTTAAACCACCACTCCCACTCATATGATTCAAGCGATTGTTAGCTCCCTTATAGATGCCCATGAAGAGAGTTGGGACAAGGATATATTGGATGATAATTTTTTAGGAGCAGGAAAAACTCAACATCATGTGTATTCATGTTCCATCTACTAAATGTAGAGACAAAATCGTATGGATTAGGGAAGAAAATGACCATTATATATATTGTAAAAAGATGTTATAAAATTCTCGATAGTAACTTCATTCCTACAGATACTAAATTATGGTGGCAGAATGTAGAAGTTTAAAGTTCCTCTAAATATTATATCTTTTTTTGGCAAATCTGCACCTATATGCTACCCATTACAAATCAATTTGTTACAAAAAATGTGCATGTTAATCCAACTTGTCTATCATGCATTCATGTGTCAAAAAACCATAGACAAATCTCTATTTGTTGTGAGATGTGAGGTGGCTAGGAGATGTTGGAACAACACAAGGGATATTAGCGGCCACCTTCATAATTATTTCTCGGACTTGGTGGAATCAAACTTTAGAGTTATGGATGATAACTCATGTTGCTTTCTTACTATTGCTTGCTATAAAATTTGGAGCATTAGGACGGACAATTTATGGAATAATAACACAAATCAATCTATAAACATTGTGGAATAGGCAAAAGATTATGGTGACGGTCACGTCATAGGCATGACGACGCATGTGACCGGTGCAGGTGCTTCTTCACGAGCGTGATGACACCCGTGATAGTTGCTGAAACTGTGTCACAAACTTGTTCTGCTCATTTGTGTGTGTTTTCCTCCCATCATGTCTCCAGTTGACCGTGCGCTCCTTTTTCATGCACTTTTAACTATGATTTCGTCAACTTTGCTCTAGTTTACTTTCTCTTCCCTTTATTGTGTACATAAAGGTACATTGCTAGACACCTCAATATATTACTAGACACCTCAATTTATGCACCAAACAAGCCAAAAGCATGGGAAAATATAGTACAAATATAGGAGTGATTAAATAGCATAAAGTGCACGAGTGTTTTGTCATTCTTTACAGGTTGAGGGTTATACACGTAATATGTAACAACAAACAATTATGCAACAGTACTAGAAAATCAACAAGAAGCTAAGCATTCAACAATAACTAAATAAGACAAGACAAACATACATTAATAAGAGATAAATGATAAGTGCTTTATTGTCCATACTTTTACCCATTTGCTTAGCCCATTTTGTGCATGAAATGTCTCAAAACTTGTGTGAACTGTGAAGTAAGGCTTAATCGTGCGGTATTATCTATGGGCACACCCATTTACAACAAGTAAGGAATTGTACCTTAGACGATCTAAGCTTGTTTCTCTTCATTTCATATCATCGCCTTATCTTAGATTAACACGTCCCAAGGTCGTAATCAAAGATTTGAGCATCAGTTTTAGAGTTCTTCATCTACATTTAATAAATAAGTTTATCTTTCATTTTATTGCGCTCACCTTATGTTTATGGTTTTCATTTGTGCTTTCATTTTATTAATGCTAAATATGTGTGAGTAGTTCCATTTAGGACTTGGGTTAAAAGGTAGTTTAATCAATCGATGTGCTTTATTTGTAATTATTGCATAAAGGGGAGGAAACTTAGTTAAGGCTCTTAGGGGGCGTTTGGTTCACGGAATGTTAGACTGATGAGAATGTAAGATTACTGAGAATGTTAGATTACTGTGTTTGGTTTAAAACTAAGATATGTAAATAAAACAACGGTAATAAGATAAATTTATTAAAACGTCCAAAGCCCAACATTAGTAGTAAGACAAGGGAATGTGAGATTACCTAAGAAATTGGAGGGTATCTCACATTCCCTTCCAATAGCTAAAAATTTAATGCCGAGGTTATCTGACATTCCCTGAGAAAGTTACATAACCTGAACCAAATATGAGAATCTTATATTACCAAGTAAATATAACATTGATTATCTTATATAACCTGAACCAAACGCCCCCTTAATGTTTATGAATAAATTGTACTTATATCTTATTGATGTGTGGTGCATAACACTCACTAGCTTGCCCCTTAAGAAATTTAAATCACAATGAGAATTATATTGCATTTCCAATTCACTCATTGCACAAACTCAATCTATTTCCCACTATGCGAATAGGGGAAATAGGGAGATTTTAAATGCTTTGTATTCTTGAAGGACTTGGAATTGAGGCATCACGTGAGTATGCAATTCATAGTCCTAATCCTTATTTATTTGATCACGAGAGGGGCTGTAGACTCTAATCCTTATTTATTTGATCACGAGAGGGGCTGTAGACTATAATTATTGAGTGCATTCCCATTAATTTCCTAGATTGGTGTTTATGCTCCCTTGTCCAAGACATTGCTTTCCTTGATTGCATTTCATCTTAATTATGTCATTACCTCGCTATTTGTTTACTTACCTTTGATCATTGCTTGAATCTATCATTCTCGACTTGCTTAACTTCTTGCTTACTTCCTAACTTGGTGACTAGTGCTTTGTTATCATAGATTGCGTGGCATATCATCCAATTCCATGAGAACGACATTTTACACATCAATAAACACAAACTCCTAACTTGGTGACTAGTGCTTTGTTATCATAGATTGCGTGGCATATCATCCAATTCCATGAGGACGACATTTTACACATCAATAAACACAAACTAACGGAAATGAGACTCGAGTCATGGAACATCCCTATGTTATGATATGATCAAAATATTGAGCAGTGGTCATATTGAGCGAGAATTACAACTTCATGTTCATTTGTTCAACTTTTGTCTTGTTTTGTCCATATGACCAATACCATTGAATACACCACTTTTTGACTATTTAAGGAATATTGCATCCATCTTACTTTCTTATTAATTAGTTCCTATTGACTCTATTTTAATAAAAAAAATATTCAATTCATCTCAATCATCATGAATTTCGCGGAATTAAGCAAATGAAAGAATATTTTTGGGCAAAATTAATAATAATAGTAATAAGTAAAATAAGCTTAAATGTATGGTACAAATATGAATAATTATACACTTGTTAAACCACGCATGACAGATGTATATTCGTTGTATTGTCATGATGAAGTTTGAAAGTGAAATTTAATTTAGAAAGTGGTAGATATTTATTTAGGTGGTCTGTTAATGACCTTCTTTCAAGTATTCATACATTTTACAGTAATTGATAAAATAATTAAAAAAAATCTGATATTAATGACCAGTTGTGGAAAAATCAAATAACTAGACACGCCCACGCTACTTTTATTCCCATAAGATTTCCTTCCAAAAAGTTGGCAGTACTTGGAATGATAATAAGCTTAGCCAATTTCATTCCTACTATTGACCTTTCCATTCAATTCCACGAAATTTCAAATGAGCGTCCATTTTGAATAATTTTACGACCATAGCTTACCAAGATGTAAGTTATATTAAGGAGTGCTATATGTACGATCCAACTGGTCAATTAATTCAAAATAAGTTTTAAATTGTATTTCATTAGCTGTTGTAGGAGGTAGAATTCGAATCATACTAATAATAAAAAGAAAAAAAGGTATGACCTGGAAGTATGAATTTGAGTTTAGGCTAATTGAAACATGACAGTAAGGAGTATTTAATTTTTATTAATAATTTGAGTGTAATATATGGTCTGATAGCACTTTAAATGAGAATGCAATTAGGTAGTTCAATTGAAACAAGTGTAATTAAGGCTTAGCATTTCTAATTTGTTGCAATTAAGGTTATTACAACTCAATTTCATACTAGGGTTTTAGATTTTACACAATTAAATTCTAATTTTGACGAAATCAAATGGACTTTTAAATTTTTTTTTTTTTCATTTCCTTATATCAAAATATCAAAATTTGCGTGTGTGCAAAAAGTAGCACTATGCATGCATGACATTGGCAAAAAATAAAAATAAGATGGTATGCCATCTACTATTTTACTTTAATCAATGTTTTAAATATTTTTTTTTTCTTTCAAATATCAATTTATAAGTTTGAACGACTTCAAAATTAAAGGTCATTTTTCGTGATAAATAATGAAATGTGCCTCTAAATAACGCTTTTAAACTTTATTTTAGCTTAATTGAGTAGTTTACCATCTCAAATGTCAATTAATCATAAATTCATAATAGGGTATGTGAAGCAAAAAAACTTGAATTGTAAATTCACGTGCATACATAATTTTCCATGAACAAAAGAAGGTAAGGTGATGAGGACGTAAGGTTACCTAATTTTGATGCCTTCCACTCTCTCCATCTTATTAAAAAGGAAGGGAAAATGGCACTTTTTCCCCCTATGTTATATACTTATAGCACTTTTTCCCCTTCAATTATTTATGTAAGTACATTAGCCCCCTCAATTATTTTAAAAGTGGTGGTTTTCCCCCCTAATATATTAAATTGACATTTCTACACTTAAAGTAAACATTTTATTTATTTTACTTCTCCAACAAATTATTGCGTATATGTAGCGATTACCACGGTTCGGTTCGAACTGAACCAGACACTATAGCAATCGAATTAAAAGTTTTCAGTTATGATTCAGATCTAGAACCCAATATTTGGATTTCAATTTATTAAATTTAAGAATAAAAAAAAACTGGATCATGAACCGGCGGTTCCGGATCCCGTTCGCGATTTTGAACCGTCTTTATTTTAAAATTTTATTTTTTATTTTAAAATAGTTTAAATTCAACAATAAATGTATTTTATTTTTTCAGTTCAGAACATGAACCGGCCATTCCAGTTCGCGATTTTAATAAACTCTAAATATCGCGTTTTGATTATAAATTGTAATTGAAATATTTTGGTTTGGTTACTATAGTATCTGGTTTGAACCAAATTATAGTAATAATTTATTGGAGAATAAAAATAAATGAAATATTTATTTTAAGGGTAAATATGTCCATTTAACATTTCAGGGGGAAAAAAAGCCACTTAAATAATTGAGGGGGAAAAAGTGCTATAAGTATATAACATAGGGGGAAAAAGTGCCATTTTCCCAAAAAGGAATATTATTGACAAAAAAAATACTGTTTTCTATACTACTCAATGTTATAAATTTATAATCAATTTATGTACTAATTAAATACCAACAAAAAAAAGTCAAATACAAAGTAATAATTTTTTTAAAAAAGGAAACGTAACTTGACCCAATTTTTTATTTGAAATACTTGTGATTATTTCTGTTTTATACTTTCTCAAATATTTTCAGTCGAAATAATTTAAGACCCACCACTATGACCACCCATTTGAAATGATAACCGAAATGCTATCACACTACATGGTAGTTGGCAATCCAATATTATTTGTTTATAAAATTTTGCTTAAAATGATACGGAGTACAAATACACTTTGTATTCCATAGTATATTATTAGACATTCAACAATTATTATTTTTGCATATAGCATATGGTATTCTACTACAGTAAAACTAAAACTTGGTTCAAAATTTATATATAACTTTAACATGACATACCTCGAAAGGATGTAGTAGAGTGAGTGAAACATGATTATTGTATAAGAATGTAGTAAATTTAATTTTTACGATTATTTTTCTCGATTAAATATGCCGCACAAACTATCGAGTCCTCCTTTGAATAGTGGTTACAGATTTTTTTATCACTAAAAAAGAAAAATCTTTTAACATGACACATGTTTAGGAATTAAATAGTATTGATAGTTTGCTTAACAATTATTTTAAGTTATTAATAGAATTTATTTATCTGAGCATTATTCGGTTATTCCTCAATAATTAGGGGAGAAATAATTAAGTGAACGAATCAGACCGGGCCAAAGCTAACCTTCCCATCGGAGCCCTAAGCTTCCTCCGCTTGAATCGAATAGGAAAATTCAAACCCCTCATCAGCGTTTTCTGTGTTCTCCCTTCTAGAAATTCGGCACGCAGCCCAACACCGCCACATCTTCATAATTCATATGCTCTCCACACACCCATCTTCTTCTTCATCCTTCACACTAGACGCCAATTTCCCCACCATACTTTCTGCTCGTCACCTCGCCATCTTCATTGAATGATCTATTCTATTCTTAGATAATTGCGTAGGGGAACCAGTATTTATACAAGCATTGAGTCATGTATATGAGTCGTGCCTCCTCCTCCGTCTCCTCCTTGTGCCGCCGCCGCTTCTTATTCTCTCCGTCTCCGTTCTCTCCCTCCGCTTCTTCGTTCTACCAGCAGCAGTCTAGGCCGCTGACTTTCGCCTCCGCTTTTAGGTCGCTCAGATGCTCCGTGCCGCGGTGGAGCCACGGCGTTGATTGGAAATCCCCCGCTAGCCTCACTGCTCAGATCAGGAGCGCCGCCCCCGTTCTCAACGATTTCCATCGAAAGATCGCGACCATGGGTACTTTCGTCTTTTTACTATTTCTCTGTGTCTCCTGATTTATAGGATTTTTTTTTTTTTTTTAAATTATTACAGTATTAGTTTTTTTTTTTTTTTTTAATTAAACAAAACAAAATATATCTTCAGTCTTGACTGCAGATATTTTCTCCTTTCCCCGTTTCCTTTTCATTGTTGCTTTTGCTTGTTGTGTCGGAACTGTTAAAAAGTCCATTTCCGACTACCGTGCATAGTTGGTGTGGTGGAATAAACTTTTTTAGAGCTTTGATTCTCGACAAAGGATAATCACGAATCTGACGTTGTGTGTGCTAATGGCATCAGCATCCGAGAATCCTTTCAAGGGAATCTTTACCAGTCTCCCCAAGCCAGGAGGTGGAGAATTCGGAAAGTTCTACAGTCTGCCAGCTCTCAATGATCCCCGGATCGGTAATTTTCGATGATCCCTATGCTTACAGCTTTGACAAAGTATTGTTTAGCTTAATGCCTTTGCTTAGGTCTTAGTTTACTTGCATGCTAAGTATAAGTTAAATTCCATACATGCCTAGAAGATCTATAACTGAAATGTGTACTGGGATTCGGTGTGACATGACATGGGCCAAATCGCATAGCAGCTTGTATATAAAGTGACTCATGATGAGAAAACATAGATTGGAATCATTAGATTCTTATTATCGAAAATCTCGTTAATCTGGATCTGCCTAATTTCCTTATCAGTCTATTTCAAGCTAAAAGCAGGGCCTTTTCTGGATAAAGTACATTTTTGTACAATATTTTGTATTGTACTTGTAATTAGTCATAAATAACTTATGAATAGTAAGTACACTTATATTTCTAACTATTTCTTTGGTTTTTAATGTGTTATGAAGATAAGCTGCCATACTCTATTAGAATCCTTCTTGAAGCCGCAATTCGCAACTGTGACAACTTTCAAGTGACCAAGGAAGATGTTGAGAAGATTATTGACTGGCAAAACACTGCTCCTAAGCTAGTGGAGATACCCTTCAAGCCTGCCCGTGTCTTATTACAAGTACTATTATTGACTTCATTCTCCCACCTTAAAAATTTTAATTCAGTGCTAAAAAAGTTTTCACACAAAACTTTGTTTTTCTTGTTAGGACTTTACTGGTGTCCCAGCAGTTGTAGATCTTGCTTGCATGCGCGATGCCATGAACAAGCTTGGTAGTGATTCTAACAAGATCAACCCCTTGGTAAGCATACCTTTTCTTCCCTATACTGTGTTGCATCTCTACTTTGTCGAATTGAGTATGGATTTGTTTCCATTTGGAAAAGTTAGGGAATTTTATGATTTAACTGTGTGTTTATCAATGTATCTGCACACACAGTTTTGAATTGAGTGGTAATATTTTCAGTTTCATGACATTAGCATTATAGAGAAACCTGATGGAAATCATTCAAAATGTGTTGTTTAAGAATGTCAGCGTCATAAATTTCTGCAGCATGCCATGTTGCAGACCATTTTAAAATTGTGTCATGCAGTAACTGTTGTGATTTTTCTTTTCCTTACTACATTGCATGCAACATGAGATTCAGCCCCATATCCTTGACTCATCTGTTTTAGTTACCTGTGATGCAAATTTCAGGTTCCAGTGGATCTTGTTATTGATCATTCTGTTCAAGTTGATGTTGCAAGGTCAGAAAATGCTGTTAAGGCAAATATGGAGCTTGAGTTCCAGAGGAACAAGGAGAGATTTGCCTTTCTTAAATGGGGTTCTAATGCTTTCCACAACATGCTTGTTGTTCCCCCTGGCTCTGGAATTGTCCATCAGGTACTGGAGTTTAAAAGCTTAATGGCCTTAGCTTTAACTCTGCTCATGTCATATTTTTCACTCTTCGAGTTTTGAAATGTCTAGGTATAAACTTTTTTTCTACTTGTTGATGTTTGCCCAGTCATGTCACTGGTTTGGTTTGGGTTATGAACTTGTGGTTCTGGTTCTTGGTTACAGAAGAACTGGAACCTTAGGAGGGAAGGTTGCAGTAACATTTGATCACCTATGCTATTTATATATTATTTTTACTTTAATTTTTCTAAAATCTTGAACAGGAACTGTTGTTTCAGTTCTCATGAGTATAGTAATTGGTTTGGTTTGAACTGAACCAGTGCCAAGTCTTTGCTCACCTAAAGCATCAGGCTTGTGCCTTGTCCCTTTTTTGGTTTTCCCTGAAGCAACTGTTCAGATCATATTTTAGGAGCTGATACTGATACTCTGTTTAATATTGGTAGGTGAATCTTGAATATCTTGGACGAGTTGTCTTTAACACTGATGGCGTACTTTATCCCGATAGTGTGGTTGGAACAGACTCCCACACAACCATGATTGATGGACTAGGAGTAGCAGGCTGGGGTGTTGGAGGTATCGAAGCTGAAGCAGCCATGCTTGGCCAGGTAATTTTACTATAAATTCTTTGCATAACTTCTTTATTTATTTACTTTTTCTGTGTATTGTTGAATCCTTCTGTGCAGTGTCTCCCTGGGCTTGTTTTCTAAAATACTTAAATGTTGGTTTTGCTTTTTACACAACTATATCCTACCTACAGTTTGTTTCATGATTGGTGACCTCATGGGGGCATTATTTTTTCATTTAAGTGATATTTAAAATGTCTAGAGAAGATATTAGTAACCAGTTTCAATGCTTTTTTCCTCTAACCGTTTGTATTTCATTGCTGATGCTGAATTCGGATCTTGTGACTTGTGATATTCAACTACCTGTCATGACAAGTCAACTGTTTCCCATTCTCTTCCCACTTTTGTTGCAATTGCCACTTTTAGCTCTAAATCTTAGAATCTTGGGCTCACTTCTGAATCTCTTGCATTTATCTTTCTAAAACTATATGCCATGGTATATAGTCAAATTATAAGAATGTGGAATACATTGCCTTAAATCTCTTAATTGTTGTCATTTGGGCGCTGGCAGCCAATGAGTATGGTATTGCCTGGAGTTGTTGGGTTCAAGTTATCAGGAAAATTACGGAATGGTGTAACAGCCACAGACTTGGTTTTAACTGTCACACAAATGCTGAGGAAACATGGTGTTGTTGGCAAGTTTGTTGAATTCCATGGTAAATTCCCCCCCTGATGAATTTACTGGGGCTTATTGCAATCACTTTTCAGCAGTTTTTTTCTAAAATAGAACCTAACTTATTGATGTTTATCCATTTCAGGTGATGGTCTGGCTGAATTATCACTAGCTGACAGAGCAACCATTGCTAACATGTCTCCTGAATATGGTGCAACCATGGGATTCTTTCCTGTAGATCATGTGACCTTGCAGTACCTCAAATTGACAGGGAGAAGTGATGAAACAGTAAGTCTTTCAGTGATTGGTGATGCATGTAGAATTACATAACTTTGTAATGTGTTCTTTCTGGATATCTTCTAAGTTCAACTCTGAAATTTAGGTCGCAATGATTGAAGCATATCTTCGTGCAAATAAAATGTTCGTTGATTATAATGAGGTAAGCCTCACCTTTGAGAATATTTCACTGCTTCTTGGTATCTTTCATGCTCTTTGATACAATGTCTGAAAATTTGTGTTTCCTTTCAAATCTCAGCCTCAACAAGAAAGAGTGTACTCATCATCCCTGCAACTAGACCTTGCAGGTGTTGAACCATGCTTGTCAGGGCCGAAGAGGTATGCTCTCTGGCATCTGAAAACACTGAAATTGAATAGTACATTTATATTTAAGGTTATTATTGATACTCTGGTTGTCATTGTTGCAGACCACACGATCGTGTACCACTAAAAGAAATGAAATCTGACTGGCATTCTTGCCTTGATAACAAAGTTGGATTTAAGGTGATTGTCAATCTTGTTTAGCTTCTTAAGTTCACCATTACTTGATAAACCTGGGCATTAGATTTTTGAAACCATTAATTTGGTTGACATTAGTACTATCCTTTTCACTCAAACCTTCGTCTATTCCTCAGCCACTATTTTTATTCTCCATGTGCTGTTCATTGGAATATTTGTTAAACTGGTTCCATTTAATGACAAGAACTGGGGTTCTTGGAAAGCTGACAGTATTATGAAATTCTAATCCCAATGCAGGGATTTGCTGTGCCAAAGGAAGCACAAGAAAAGGTGGCAAAATTTTCCTTCCATGGACAGCCTGCAGAGCTCAAGCACGGAAGTGTTGTGATTGCTGCTATTACAAGCTGCACGAATACATCAAATCCTAGTGTTATGTTGGGAGCTGCGCTTGTTGCTAAAAAGGCAGCTGAGCTGGGCCTACAAGTCAGTTTTGATTTACAGACATAAATGATTTTAGCCAGTTGAGAATTTGTCTTCTTACTGTATGCTCTTTTTACTCACTTTGGCAGGTAAAACCTTGGGTTAAGACTAGCCTTGCTCCAGGATCTGGAGTTGTAACAAAATATTTGCATCAAAGGTACTGTATGCATTTTCTGAAGGAAATTAATTTCAGTTGTGCCTCCATTTCTTACCATTCTCTGCTTGTGGTGTTATACACAGTGGACTGCAGAAATATTTGAATGAACAAGGGTTCCACATTGTTGGATATGGCTGCACAACATGTATTGGCAATTCTGGTGATTTGGATGAATCAGTTTCTTCTGCAATATCAGAAAATGGTATGTAGTTAATTTGTTAATTTCATATAAGTAGGTGCTGTTGTGAGACAGTGTATGTATCTTCAACATTGTCATTGGACCAATTATCTAACTAAACCTTGGTTTGAATTCTGCAGACATTGTTGCGGCAGCTGTTCTTTCAGGAAACAGGAATTTTGAGGGCCGTGTTCATCCTTTGACACGGGCCAATTACCTTGCTTCACCTCCTTTAGTGGTCGCCTATGCTCTAGCTGGCACGGTTAGTTTATAGTTATCTGTTTCTTTAGAATTATCGTGTTTCTCTTTGTTGTAATGTTATGCTCCACGGTGTCTATTACAACAAATGTGCCGTGCTTTAACAATTAGCACGTTGCATAAGTAGGGCCACTGGTTGTGATATACAGGTGGAGATACATATATTTAGAAAGATGAAAGAAATCTAATGTTCTGACACTGTTTTGCCCTCGGGTGGAGATGCACAAATTTAGAGTATTAAAGACCCCTTATACACCAACTTTGTGATGCATCCGTAAAAGAATTCCTCTTTGTTTTTCATTATGTTTGTGCACACTGCACAGTGATGTTAAAGACCTTTTATTCGATAAAATTTAGTAATCCAATAAATCTGTATCCTTTTTACTTTACGTTTTTCAATATCAAGTAAGCTTCTCTCAGAATTGGTCTGATGTCAGAGGTTTCTCTTTCAATTGCATGCAGGTTGATATTGACTTTGAGAAAGAACCAATTGGGGTAGGCAAGGATGGTAAGGATGTCTATTTCAGGGATATCTGGCCAACAACAGAGGAAGTTGCTGAGGTATGCTTTTTGTTATGCCATTTTGCTTTCTGTATGAGTTGACATAGAGATGTAATGTGTTCAATTTCTATTGTAGGCTGTCCAATCCAGTGTGTTACCTGACATGTTCAAGAGTACATATGAATCCATTACAAAGGGGAACCCGATGTGGAATCAGTTATCTGTCCCAGAAGCCAAGTTGTACTCGTGGGATCCTAATTCCACATACATTCATGAGCCACCATATTTCAAAGGCATGACTATGGATCCTCCAGGAGCTCGTGGAGTGAAAGATGCGTATTGCTTATTGAACTTTGGTGATAGTATCACGACAGATCATATCTCTCCTGCTGGAAGCATTCACAAGGATAGTCCAGCTGCTAAATACCTCCTTGAGCGAGGTGTTGACCGCAAGGACTTCAACTCTTATGGCAGTCGCCGTGGTAATGATGAAATCATGGCGAGGGGTACATTTGCCAACATCCGCCTTGTAAACAAGCTGCTAAGTGGAGAAGTTGGTCCAAAGACAGTTCACATTCCCACGGGAGAGAAACTCTATGTGTTTGATGCTGCAATGGTAATGCCAAATGCTTGTTTTTTACTTGCATGTGTTGTACATAGCAAATTTTGGCCTATACATAACAAAAATGTACATGTTTCTTTCAGAGATACAAGTCTGAAGGGAAGGACACTATAATCTTGGCTGGAGCAGAATATGGAAGTGGTAGCTCTAGGGATTGGGCTGCCAAGGGCCCAATGTTGTTGGTGAGTTTTCCATACAACCCGAGGAGTGATTTCTATCACTTTCGTATTCCTTTTGTGTCTCAACTGTGAAGATGGAATGATTTAAACAGGGAGTAAAAGCAGTTATAGCTAAAAGCTTTGAGAGGATTCACCGCAGCAACTTAGTTGGAATGGGTATCGTTCCTCTGTGTTTCAAGGCCGGAGAGGATGCAGACTCACTTGGATTGACTGGCCACGAGCGCTACAGCATTGATCTTCCCAGCAATATTAATGAAATTCGCCCCGGTCAGGATGTGACTGTTAAGACTGACAATGGAAAAACTTTCACTTGCACTGTACGCTTTGATACCGAGGTACTTCCTTCTTTCATCTTCCTCCTTTATTCCATTTGATCTATGGAAATTTACACTATAAAAGTAAAAACAACCCAACTGATGTATGAACAACGAACAGGTGGAGTTGGCTTATTTCAATCATGGAGGCATTCTTCCATATGTTATTCGACAATTGTCCAAGCAATGAGCAACTCAACTTTGCCGTCATGTGGTGGTGAAGCTTTTGGATTTCGGTGCTGTAAAATTTGAAAGAAGAATAAAGAACAGAAAAAAGATTATTTCTGAAGAAACTTCAGGATGGATGGTTGCAGTTTTTTTAAAGTACTGATCTTGTATTCTTTCCATACAGTGATCTGATCGGATCGGAATAACATTAAATCTGTTACTGTACCTCTCAATGTTGGTACACCGGCATTTGGATAAATTTTCAAATTAATGAAGTCGCGTTTCTTCTTTATGATTAAAGCTGTAATTTGAAATCTCACATTTTCTAAAACCAAATAAGAACCAACATATAGTTTTCTAACTATATTACTTGAAACAAATGCCTCTTTTAATGTTTTTTAAATTTTTATTAGAAATGTGAAATCATTTATGCGTATAGTATCCATGAGAGCTCTATTAATAAAATTAAATAGACAATAATGCAAGTTCATGGGTGGTGCAGTTGCTAGTTGGTGGTTGTTACTTGTTACAATAAATTACTCGTATATTAAATTTAGTTGACTAGGTGGATGTTAGAATAAATTACTCGTATATAAAATTTAGTCAACTAATTGTAACCCGACAGATTTCTTTTAAAAAAATTATATTTCTTCCTTTTGATATTTTCTTTCAAAAATATTTTTTTTTAAAAAGAAAATATAATGAAGTTTATTTTAAATTCGGAGGAAAATATGCTGTCACCATTGACGGCAATGACTTTAAAAAAAATTAATATATATAAAAAAAGGCATATAAAACATCACATGGCATTAGTGCATCAATAAAATAACATTATATTATCAAGTAGGAGATTTTAAATTTTATTAGGTCAAATGATGTACAATCTCTCTTTCATTTCTATTAAATGCACCAAAAAAATAAGCATTTTATTTTTGATAGTAATTAGCAAGAGTATATTTCCATTTAAATTGAACATTTTAAAAATACTTTCAATCAATTTCTCCTGGCGATGAGTTGGGCAAGGAAGGAATTGGCATCTCCTTTTTACGAGGTTGTAAAGGTGGCAGTTGCTGTCAATGGTGGACCTCCCAAAATCCGAAAAGAATCCTAAAACCATGACTAGTAAGCATAAAGGAGTTCTAAATCAAATTGGGAAAACGTCACTTCTTTTTCATTCTCCACTACAAGTAACAGCTCCTGCATCTGTGTATCCCTGCGTTGAAGGGCTTATTAAGAGTTATTCTTGATTTGAACTGATTAGCTATAAATAACATAAGGTAATTTAATTTATTGTGGTCCTTATCAATTAAAATCATAAGGTGAAACTTACTCAATGCACATAATTAAATAATGGTTCATTTGACCACTATTAATTGTTAACATGATTAAAAAATCAATATAAGTGTTCGATTAATTAATTTTTTGTAACTTTAAAATGTTAAAATTCAAAAAGTAACTCGAAAAATCTTTTTCAGTTAACTTTTTGAGAAAAGATATATCAAACAGCTATCAGCCAACAACTAATTTACCAAACATCTTTCATAATCAGTTAATGTTATCAACTAGTTATAACCCATTTTTAATTAACTCAATCAGCTATCAATCAGCAGCTAACAATCATTTACCAAACACCCGTTTTTCTTATAACCCGATGAATATGATTATTTCGGGGAGGAAATGTGTTTTACCTTATCCTTTGTTTCTATTCTCTGGTACAAAGACAATATTAGTTAGACTGGAAGGACACTGCCATTTATTGTTTGGTACGAAGTATTCAGTACGTTGTTAAATTTCTTTGTCAGACAGTACCACAACTTGCAAATTAAAAATCTAGGAGCTTAGAAAATAATTCATCTTCCACCATCATGCAAGTTATGGGTTGACCTAGACTTGAGTGATCTTTGATAATTGGTCAACAAGTCTTTTTCTTCAACATTAATTTCCATCATCACCATCTTTTGCTCAGCTCTTTCCTTGAAATTGGAGTATCAGATTCCCACTCTAGTTAGTTTTTTCTTTTTTTTTTTTAACCTCAGTTCTCAAGCTACACCCCCCAGGTGCCTTTCACACCAACCACACAGCAATACCTGCCACTTTTGAATTCTCAAGAGGCTGCTCAAAGACCATGTTTTTCACAAAATTATGCTCACTTCAACTCTGGGTTGTGCTTAGTTTCTCCAAATATTTCACATGAAACAGTTTCTTGATTAGAGGTTTGTGGCTCTGTTGTCTTTGGCCTTTGAAGCATCAAGAATGAAGCTTCTTTTGGCTGTGGGTATGGCTATTTTGGTTCTGGGGTTGCTTACTGTGACTGTGAAGTGTGAGAGGCCTGCTGTTGTGAATGTTGGGGCTGTTTTCACCTTCAATTCAGTCTCAGGGAGGGCAGCAAAGACAGCCATGGAGATTGCAGTCTCTGATGTCAATGGTGATCCTTCTATTCTGAATGGAACAAAGCTGAACTTGATCAAGGTGGATGCAAATTCCAGTGCTTTTTTGGGGTCCATTGGAGGTACCTCTTTTTTTAACTTTGTGTTTATGTTAGTTTATCACTAATTCTTGGTTTAGAGTTATGTTATGACAATGGTTGCATCTTTTGACTCAGTTCTTTAAACCAATTCATGTAGTAATGTTTCCAGATTATGCAATACTGCTATTAGTTTATCACTAATTATATCTATTCTACTTCAGAACCATATTTAGTGTCTGGTGATAGCTGTATATGTTGAAGTATATACCTTGTTGAGTTTGTCTCATATATGGATTAGGAATACGAGTTTGTAGTAGGAGTGAAACCGGTAGACTCATTGTATATTGCTGAATCACGTAAATCTTGTCTTCGTTTACCTTTTTGCCATTATTATTGTTTCTTGTTCTTGTTAATCTCAACATACCTTCTGGGCTTCTGGCACAGAAAGTAAGTTTGATTCCAATTAATCTGTCAGCGTTTCAGGTTATCGATAAGAAAGCGGTGGCAATTATAGGTCCAGAGTCCTCATCAATAGTTCATATGATTTCTTTCATAGCTACTGGTCTTGAAGTGCCTCTTATCTCGTTTTCTGCTAGCGATCCGAGCCTGTCTGCATCTCAGTTCCCCTTTTTTGTTCGGATGACACAGAGCGATTCTGTTCAGATGGCTGCTTTGGCTGACTTGATTCGCCACTATGAATGGAAAGAAGTGATTGCCATATATGTGGATGATGAATATGGGAGAAATGGGATATCTTCTTTAAGTGATGAACTTTCCCAGGGAATGTCAAAGATCCACTTTAAGTTCCCGTTATCTGTGAACTTTGATTTGGGTGAAGTAACGAGGGTACTAAACAGGTCGAAATTCTTAGGCCCTCAGGTTTTTGTTGTGCACATGTATAACGATGCGAAGTTAAGGTTCTTTGAGGTAGCACAGGAGCTGAATATGATGACTAGCAACTATGTGTGGTTTGTGACAGATTGGCTTTCTTCGAGTTTGGAGTCCTCATCGCCGCGAAGCCAATCTTCTCTACGAGTTCTTGAAGGAGTTGTGGGGCTTCGCCCTTATATTCCAATGTCGGTCCAGAGAACTGCTTTCATTTCTCGATGGAAAAATTTGCAGCAGAAGAAATTTGTGCTTTCTGAGTTAACTACACAGGCATTGTATGCTTATGATACTGTTTGGGCAGTTGCTCGAGCAATCGATAAGCTTCTTGAGGAGGGAAACAACCTTACGTTTTCGTTCAACAATAACTTCAATGACATGGGAAGGACTAATACTAATACTAATACACAGATTGACAGATTTAAAGTGTTTGAAGGAGGAGAACATCTTCTCAAGATCTTAACACAAATGAACTTCCCGGGCTTGACAGGACAGGTCCATTTTGATGAATCCCAGAATCTTGTTGGGAGTGGTTTTGAAGTTTTTAATGTTGTGGAAGGGCAGATTCGCACGGTTGGTTATTGGTCAGAATTTTCCCGCCTCTCTACTTCCCCTCCTCCTCGAAAACCCCCCATCAACAACCAAACAACAAAGTCTGAGTTTGATCAAAAGCTTGGAAATGTTCGGTGGCCTGGTGGGGAGAGCACAAGACCGCGTGGTTGGCTTCTCGCCAATAAAGAAAAACCATACAAAATCGTCGTTCCAAGGAGAACCGGTTTCACAGAATTCGTTAGAGTGAATGGCAGCAATGGAATAGAGGGCTATTGTGTAGACGTTTTTAATGAAGCAACGAACCTACTTCCTTATGACATCCATTTCAAATTCGAGCCTTATGGAAATGGTGTTTCCAATCCAACTTACGATGACCTTGTTAAAATGGTCGTGGACGATGTAAGTCATTCTTTTCTTTCTATAGATTATCTACATTAGAACTGCATCCATATTCCCCGAGAAACTTGATTATATGTATATAAGCTGATTTAGGATAGCAGCCTTAGCTTCTGAGATGTTATATTCATTAGAAAATTTTGCCAGAAATACGATGCAGCGGTTGGAGACATTACTATTGTGACGAACCGGACAAGGAGTGTGGATTTTACTCAACCTTTTGTGGATAGTGGCCTTGTCATTGTAGCCCCGGTTGATAACTCGAAATCAAGTACTTGGGTATTTCTAAGGCCATTTACAGCAGAAATGTGGATTGTCACGGGATTGTCTTTTCTAGTTATAGCAGTGGTTATTTGGATACTAGAGCATCGTGTGAATGATGATTTTCGCGGTCCACCCAAGAGACAGCTAAAAACGATGTTACTGTAAGCCTAAGCCATTCTATAACTTCATTATATATGCTCTTATATTTCTATTCTCTGTTAACCAACCATTTGTAATACTTTTTGGACTAATTTGGTTATCCAGGTTCAGCTTCTCAACACTGTTCAAGACAAATTGTAAGTATATTTTGGTGTTTTCAGAATAAGTAATGAAATGTTATGCAAAGAATCATCATTTTGAGTGACCAAAATTTGGTATAATTTTCAGCAGAGAATACGATAAGCACCCTCGGGAGGATGGTGATGCTGGTGTGGCTATTTCTACTACTGGTGTTAACCTCGAGCTACACAGCGAGCTTGACATCGATCTTAACAGTGCAGCAGCTCTCGTCATCCATCACGGGAATGGACAGTTTGATAGCAAACAATTTGCCTATTGGATATCAGGTCGGGTCGTTTGTGTATGCGTATTTGAGAGACAATTTCAACATTCATCCTTCAAGGCTCGTGCAACTGCGCTCTCCAGAAGAGTATGAATCTGCTCTTCGGCTAGGGCCAGGGAAACGAGGAGGGGTTGCTGCTATTGTAGATGAGCTTCCATACATCGAGC